CAGGTGCTCTTCCACACCCACCACAATAAAACTCCGTCGAAACTGAACCACCAAACCCATCCACAGTCGAATCGAATTGCGGGAGAAGCTCAGACACATCTCTTTGCTTACAGTAGTGGGCTTGACGGGTAATCCAGGATGAAAAATCGGGAGGGATGCGCCCGTAAGCCTCCACGCACAGCCTGATGTTGTGCATGCTAAGACCAACCAAAGAAAATCGTTCTCATGCACTTAGCATACACTGACTGGTTAATTCTTGACATCTCATTGCTTGCCGAATAATCAGACCCTTTCGAAATATGATGTTGACCGGGGAAGAAGACTTGCTAGTGGCTTAGAATTAGGGCGAGGAGTACAGAAAGGTCCGCTTAAAAAATGTCTTAGCTTGAATGGACCAGGTTAAAATGATCCTATGACCAGTCCTCGTACACATTCAGAATATAGAGAATATGCAAGCGCGGCTCTGCCCGTGTTAATCATGAATCGTAAAGAAATCATTGGCAAAGGATAAAAAAGAGGGAAACTGGGTAGATCTGCCGCGTTCTAGGTAAAAGTGGATTCATCACTACTCGAGTCATCTGTAACCGCAATTTTTGGCTATAAACTTGCATTCTAACCAATCGTATCTCTCAGAAATATTTTTGTGTAATGTACCTCGTAGAATTCGAAGCGATGCAATTTTGACAGTGTCTAGCGCGGTAGATGCAGCAAAGAGTCATTTCTACTACCGATTTATAATCGATGATACCGATACAGAAACAAGCTCAGGCTTGGGGGATATTCTTTGAGAAATGATAGGCGCTGTCCACACAAAGGCAGTAATACTTTTCTGCCACGATGGGATACGGAAGGTCGTAGTCTCTCGTAGACCTTGTTCACATACTAATCACGCCCTGAACATTCAGTTGGTCATATCTTCTGGTGATCTCCACGGCGTAGTACGAGAAGCATGTGAATTGATTATTGAAGGCAAGACAGTGATAAGGATAGAACAAGGATGAAAACAACTTGGACCTGAGCCGGTCTCTCAATAGGGCAGACACGGCCCCGAGATCTCCCTTGTAGAAAGCTGCCGAAACCTCCCCTGACCAAAAGATATGGAGAATTTAGTTTCCGAAGACGCCGCGCCGTAACGTATCTTGTATGTCTTGAGAAGAACAGGGGTTCCACACTACCTTTCACGATTGTGATTCAATAGAATTACGAATTCATCGATATTAGCCCACATTCAGACCTTGGCCAATTGGGGGCTCTGAAAAAATTGTCAACATCATGTCTGCAAATCCTGCCGACCAATGTGGTGTGAATCTCATCAATATTCTAGAGCTAGAGTCCATGTGAAGTTTTGATATTAAAATATTCTAATACTTTGGACGAATATCAAGTATCCCAACCAAATCCAACTATGATCCTTGGGCATCTGTTGCTAAGGTCTCTCTTAAATGCGTTACGTATCTGTTGATACCTCAATAGCTGAGCAGCCTGGCAACCTTACTGTGATGTATGAGTTTGTTTGGTTCATTGAATATTCGTACAAAACTGCATTCTAGCGGTTGTGGTGACATTTTAGGAACTTGTTTCGATTCATCTGCACGGTCAGCGCTAGAAATGGTGTCAAGGGGCCCCTCATATGTACCTCTGTACACTCTGCGTCGGACATGAATCTGCTACGTGCTTGCTTCAAAGTTGTGATATTCAAGCCCGGATACATCGTGACAACGTGTCAAATCAGCCGGAAAGTATGCAAAAGAGATTGCTTGATACTTGCTTGAGCTCTCAATCCTTGAACTAATAGAAAGATTGGTCTAACTCGTTGACACGACGGTCGTTTCCTCCAAATTGGGCGAGAGGCACGTTCAAAGGTTTGAAGCTGCAGATAGTACCCCATTAGGCAATTACCAACATTTGGAGATCCACTAACATCGTGATAAATGTGCCGGGGTACTGCAGGCTGATCTCATTCATATGTAATCATATCCTTGAAGAAAAAGCGGGAATCCCTGACATCTTTGGTTTTGTAAGCCTGGCTCGCCTGGCTACTGCAATTCTTTGCAAAAATGGTCGTAGATATCAAGAAAATTAAATCTGGACAGCAATAATATAGCATCGTCATTGATTGTACAATTTGAGACATCTTATCGCTTCTCCATAAAACATATGTGCCAGTGACCAAAACTTTCAAGGCCTGCGGCCGAAATACGATTGGTAGCTCGAGACGCGGCATAATCTGGAACTGTGAAGGTTAAGGTTGTATCCGAAGATCAAAGGAAACTTCCTACACTGCATGTACTTCATGTACTGTATGTAATGTGTGTATGTAACTTATGCTCCTACGCGTGTTTACAAGGTGAGCGGCGTATCAAACGATGTCTAAGCCACATAAACCATTTGATGTTCTAAATTGGGACAATGGAGAAGAATGTAATGTTCAGATCATTTTTTAACATAGAATGTTGAATTTGATACGCGATTCTTTCTAGTGTATCGCGTGACAAAAACTGAGCACATACCTAATAATCATTTCTATCTTATATCAAGATAGAGAATAATAAGAGCTTCCAGGTTATTCATCTCCGATTCTCATCTGCAGATACAACCGAGAAGGTTTTAACGGCTGACTCCTTCCGAAGAAACAGTTGGTAAATGAGTAGGAAAGCTTCCAAAGTTGACCCGATCAAAAAGTGGTATAGAACCGAAGGCAAAGCGGCGCTTATTAGTTTCAATACTACATAATTTTGGAGTCTCTGACCTCTTACAGGTCTCATAATTTTGTGATCTCTCTTATCCCTTCCAAATAGCCCTCTAGTCTGAATATCTCGTAGCGTGGCTCGGCCGTCAGCTTGCTCAAAAAAAGTCTTGCTTGGATTACTTCCATTCCACAACTTCACAAGCGATCTTTTCCATTCCTCAGTTACTCAGAACATATCACTGCATATTCTTCAACAATCCATATGCAAGCAATCAAGCTCGTGGGGAGCTGTCCGTCATACCCGTTCGCTTGAAGGGAGGATCCTATCAAACTTGCATCCTCTCAATACCCTGGTTGATCACAATCAAGCGAACAGATCCTACGAATTTATGCCAGAAGATAGATACATAACTACACATAAACGTATATATAGACAACATAGTGCGGTACCGTACAGTATCTTGTGAAGGTCGGAGACTTTGGTAATAGATTGGCCCATGTCCGATGAAATAGCAAAAGACAGTCAGAACTATCAATAACCAATCGGATAAAAAGTCCACTTAGATCTTCAGTATCTGTATTTCAGAGGTTGTCACGAGAAGCACGAGAAGTACCAAAAGTTACCAAAGACGCAGATGAAATCGTGCACAACAACATTACATGACCAGGATCAAGATACAGTACATGAAAAATACGACCTTGCGACCCCTTCAACCTTGAAGCTTTATCATTAAGATTCATTCCGCTTTTGCCTTGCCAATCGCAAATACCTACCAGTAACAATCAGAAGCAGGAAACTTAGGAAAGCAACAAATTATTCAACTGTAAGAGAATGACTTAAACCACAATACAGAATGAAACACGGATATCTCAAGCTTCAAAGTCAAGCACTTTCGAATCAAATAGAATCCTCTCCTTCGTTTACCTAGGGGTTTCGAATAATCCTGTAAAGCAAATTATTTACTTCTCATTTCGGACAATTGAAAGAAATTTCACTCTTCGATTTAATTGGCGGTCCAAAAACCAAGTTGTCCCTCGTCAGCTGAATCTTCCAATCACAAAAGTCAAGTCGGAAAAATACCTTGGAACGCCCAGCTTCAGAAGATACATTTTACCCGTACCGTACCTCGTCCTTGCGTCTGGCGCAGCAAGTCCTTGAATAGCATTTGTCGCAATACTTACTAGGGTGATAGTTTCCGCAGTCAGGCCGATGTTTGATAACGACATAGCGGAAAGAGAAAAGAGAAGCCTTCTTGTCTAGCTTTCTGGATCTCTGGTTGATAGTAGATACTTGAGCGGGACTAACTCGGCTTTGATTCTTAGTGTTAACTCTTCTTCCACCTATCATTTCGAGCAACTGATAAGTCCGAATTTTTACCTACTAGTAGGTATCCTCTCTTCATCATTCCCACACCTTATTGTGCTATTGAATAAGAAGAGAGAGAGAGAGAAACTAGACTACCTACCTAGTAAAGCAAAGGCAAAAAGAAAGACGGGCTCGCTTCGAAATCTACTGAACCCCTTCATCTATACCTATCTAGGTAGATTATAAGTTGAATCTATTAGTCTTTATTCGGTCATACTGCCATCAATAGTTCATTACCTACCTAGGTAATAGTTGACTGATTACCTCTTCTCTACTATTGTGTTCAAGGGAAGGGTTTCTGTCTCTGTCTGCTAATAATAATATTATTCTTACCTATGTTAGTATAGAAAATATTCAAGCTTCGATTTCCCTCTCATAATATTCCCCATTGAACATTACTGTACTTGACCTTACCTTTGGAGTACATAGCACAGTGCATACTACTCCGTACATACATAACTACCTACACATTGACCATGGTCTTTTTATATCTCCCACCGACCACTACTCCATACACGGCATCTTTCCCACGAGTTCGTTGCGAATAAAAGGCCATCTGTTGATCAATGACATGCTTACCTGATCTCATTTCTCATCGACGAGACCCCAAGATAAATCCTCAAGACCCTCGTACGAACAGCTACAAATGCCCACGATTACCATATAACTACCGAGACCGAGTCGACTAAGAAAAGCCATGGGGACATGATTATAAGACTGTACCTGAGAGAGTGTAGAATAGCCGTCGCGCAAATTATCTTATATGCAATTTATCCCATTTTATCGGAAAATCAATTCGATGTAATAATCGATATCATTCTAGTACCCATTCAGGTATATTATACTAATCATCTCTTATGAGAAGTATCAAGGAATACTATTGTTTTTTGCCCCAAGGACATACCTACATATATATATGTATACCTAGTACTGTTCTTCAATCTCTTCCTCTTCCTCTCCCTCTCCCTCTTCACGAACCACCATCCACCAACCACCATCCACCAGTCAACAAAGGATTCATTGAAATTTCACATACAACTTATCATTACATATCCTATCCACCTACTAGGTAGTACTTTCAGACCAACAAATTCTTCTATTAATTACTCGCAAGAAGAAAAGGGAGGAGAGACCCCAAATTATACATTTATAATTATATAAAGTGGGAATTGTTTTCATTGTGACCTTGATCCTTCACATAATTACATGCACACATACATATACACATACATACATACATACATACATACCTACCTACCTACTACCTACCTACATATCTGACATCGTTCATTTTCCGGGGATCCAATTAATCGACATCTGGTTTTGGCCCTTTCGTTCAAGGGTCCCTTTCCCTTATCCGCTCGGCCTGGTATCAGCAAGCCTTCACCCTACATATATCTATCCACATTATCCACTACTATACACACTATTCACACTATCTATTCACACCACCTTCCACTACACTACCATTACGACATTACTACTTAATTAAAATCCCTTGAACAACCAACAACTCCAGCTACAGGATTCTTCAGTCGCCCGCATGCATGGTGCAGAACGAATCGCTTCGTTAATGCAGCTGAACGGCTTCTGCGCCGCAGTCATCAAATCTTGGAGCTTGCATTCTAACCTCCTCCAACATCTTTTTTTTTGGTTTTGCGACGATAGCGCAAACGCGCGCCGAACGTGAAAAGTGTTAGGAGTTGGGGCCAGGTTTAATATCATATATCTCATCGCCCAATACTGTCCTGGAAAAGTATTTTGGAATTTTTCTATTCCTTTGTACTTTTCTTTTTTCTCGACCCGTTCGTTGCGTTGCGTTGCGTTCCGTTCCGTTGCGCATTTCGTCATGTACTCGGCCGTGACAAATGGTCTTGGAGGGGGTGGTAGTGAAGCTCCATTTCAACCCACAACTATTAATCCTCAAGCTCTGAATCAAGGTAACTATAATCTCTATTATAAAATGTTAATGGGACTGGGAATATCTTTTGGAGCTCCAGTTTCCTCTCCTATATGAATATATCTACCTAGTATACTTATATGTTCTTATCTTGAGAAGCTATGAACGTTTGACTGACCGAATCTTGCGATGCGATAGGAGCTCTCAACCCCGCCCAAGCAATTTCACCAAATGAAATTCCTCGAGGAATTAAAAGAAGTCGCTCTCCGGATACATATAATGAAATACCACAGGTCGATAATCACATAGATGACGGTACGTTATCACTCCTCACATATTCGGGTTTCGCTTTATTCACACTTGCCCTAACAATATGTTACATGCGCACTTACTTCACCCTTTCAAGAAATATCGCTGACACTTGTATCTTGTTCTAGGTGACTCAAAGCCCCGAAAGAGAGGAAGACCGATGAAGTTGAAGTCGGCCGTCAATACCTCAGAAAATTCCAAACAAAGCCAAATGCCACATTCAACTTCAACCTCAAGCCAAAGTGGCCAGCCGCAGACTCCTCAGTCGCAGCATACGGTCTTACCTCATAATCGTACACCAGGCTCAAACTTGGCTCAAACGCCCGTTCTTAAACAAACTCCCAAGGCAGTTATCAAAGCTTTACCAACTGTGAGGGATCATACCACCGACCAGTTAGGTGCAGAGGGAGATGAGTATATTCCACGAGAGTATGATGAGCAGGGTGAGAAAAAGGTCTCAGCTATGGGCCATTTAACAGATGGACGCGAATACAGGTGTCGAACATTCTATGTACCAAATCGAGGAGATAAGCTGTTTATGTTAGCAACAGAGTGTGCCAGAGTACTAGGATATCGGGACTCGTACCTACTGTTCAACAAGAATAGATCTCTCTACAAGATCATCGCCACCCAAGCAGAGAAGGAAGATTTAATCCATCAAGAAATCTTGCCTTTCTCTTACCGCTCTCGCCAAATAGCGATCGTTACTGCAAAATCCATGTTCCGGCAATTTGGTAGCAGAGTTATCGTTAATGGGCGTCGGGTCAGAGATGATTATTGGGAAACGAAAGCACGCAAGCAAGGGTTCACTGAAGATGATCTTGCTGGGGAAAAGAGACCGGGCGCAGCAAAGGCCCGAGATGCCGCCGCTGCCGCCGAAGCTTCCGCTGCTCTTGCTGCAAGTCACCATCATGGCGATATTTACAGCAATGGTCCGGGACATTATGGGTACCCGCAAGCACCGATTCCATCTGCTATGATGGGTATTCCTAGTGCCACTAACCCACTGCCAATGATAACCACTCTTGCGCCGGAACAAACTGATATGCGTTTGAGAGACTACAGCAGCATCCAACGTCCAAGACAGGAACTAGCCGGGACCGCGTACCAAGATAGGACTCAGCCTAGTTCACATGCCGATTTATCAAATCATGTCAACCAAGCAGCTGAATATAGTAAGCAGATCAATCAACAACGGAGTCGCAGTCACGACTATCTGGAACGAAGATGGAGACAGCCTCATGAGGTCTCTGGAGGAAACATTGTGCAAACTACGGGTAATCACGACGGTCTTCCATCTGCACAGACTCTGCGTTCGCCACGAGCATCACAAAGTATTGCGCAGCAACCAATCTTGGCACATCAGAACCCACAGAATCTATCATACTCGCAGGCTTCTCATCAACCTGGTATTGTTTCACAACCTCCGATCAGAAGTGCACCATCAAGACAGGAGCAGGCAGCCGGACGATCTCCCAGCATACCAATTGCGTCTGCGAGCAATATGAATCAAGGGACGAATGCTTATCAATTCACGTCTCAGAATCAGATGTGGCCATCAAGTCAACCACAGCAGCAGTCCCCACAGCAACATGCGTTCAACCCAAGCTACCCATCCCATCCTAGTCAGCAATCACCACATATACAACAATCTCCTCATCAACCTCCTCCTCCACCACTTCGACAATCAGGAAGCAATTCTCAAATGCAACCCGCATTACAATATTCTGGTATGCAAGGAATGGGGCAAAATTATGCAGCACCAAATCGAAATATTTATCAACCCGAGTCAAACAGTCATCAATTTATGCAACCTACAACCTCCGGTCCTCAGCCTAGCTCTCAAGGCTGGGCTCCACAGCAACCTACTGGAACTAGTGCTGGCTGGGGTTGGACAGGTCAACCGCAATAGATAGAGATACAAGGACGAATATTGCAGCCAACATGGATGATGGCATCACAACGTAGGACGCATGCCAGAGAACGGGAATGAAACGAAGGATGATACACTTCGCGAAATCAATATGATCGCGTATGCTACTTCCCGACTTCGATCTGTCCATCCTCCAACGTATCTTACATTGAATATTCCCCAGCAATGGTGGAATGGGGTTTCATCACAACACAGCAATTTTCTGTTCCGGTTCTCCGATGCTAAAACGTTATCATATTACAAGCATCCAAATGGACTGCCTTTCTGTATAGCTATGGCATGTTTCCTCTTTTAAGGTTCTTGTTTTTCATTGCTTATTGATTCAATCACTTTTACATTTATACCTGATCTTTTCTTTTCTTTTGCTTCTCTTTCTCGATGTACTTTTCCTCTTCTGTTTTTAACATCACACCACTTAATTTCTTCCCGGGTGCCTTTTCTTTGAAGATGAAAGGTACCCTGGCAACTTCGTTCTCATTGTTGCGTTAACTACCTTTGTCTGTTCCTTGTTCTCTTTTACCTCACAACTTTCAATGTGTGAGGATTCTTTGGTGGCAACGAAATGCATATGAGCTAAGGATTAGCTTCGTTGATTTTTTTCTCTCTCAGCAAGGGCATGCATCGATGGATTTGTTTTTTACTTCTTGCCGATTTCAAGTGCATGGGGTATTATGGCTGGTTAGGATATACACTTTTGCATTGCGTGCAAGGCTTTGGCATATGATGGATAGGAATTGATTTAACTGGGCTATACCCATTATGGAAGCACATACTGGACGTAAGGGTCGAATGGATGATTGTGTGGGTGGGATCGGAGGATGGAGTTTGGAAGGGAATACCTCTCTGTTTGTTTTGTGTTTTGAGAATTTGTAAATTTTTCGTTTTTTTATTAAGGGCATATTTATTGAGTCCTGACTATCTGTCATCTGTTCTACGTTGTGTTGTTTATCTTGAGTTGAGAATTCCAATTGTTTGTGTGGTGCGTGTCGTTGCATTATGGATGGGTGGATGGATGGATGGTGGTGGTGTGGCTTTTGTGTGTTGCGTGATGACGATGATGTTGATGATGATCGAAGGGATACTGAGTTGATAGTGAACGTGCATTCGTGGGGAGAGGGGTTAAATAATGCATGAGTGATGGTATTTGAGAGGTGGGATCAGGGAGCGGTATATGAGGGATTCAAATGTAATGGGCTGAAATGGGATGGGTATATATATGCATGGATACGGATGGAAAGGGAAATAGAGATGTGGAAATAACTTACATACTCTAGGGAAAGTGGAACATTGAAATATTAGTAATAATCCTGTTGAATTTTGTTTGTGTGTGTGGTTTTTGTGTATATGATTTTGAAGTTGTGAGGAGATTCTGTACTTACAAGGTTGGTGCTGGTATGAGTAGTGGCAATATGGTGGTGATTGTGTTTGGATGTTGGTATTAATATCAGTGTTGACCATAACATTGATATCAATCTTAATCATAGTATCGACACTAATCAATCTGATACATAAACGTGTATTGCTTGGTACTCTGAACAATTTCCTCTGGCGATCCGGGAGTTGGGAATTAATAGTTGATGGTTGATAGTTGATAGATAGTAAAGATTCGGAATTCGAGGTTTGATAGTTACTTTAGTTACTTAGGTGGGTGGGGTGGGTGGGTAGATTTTTGAAGGGGGGATGGAGATGCGGGTAGAGGTGAAGGTGGAGGGTAGAGGTGAGGGATTGAGTGGGGATGTTGGGAGGGTGTCTTAGGAAGGGAGTGAGTGGATATTAAGATGAGGGATGAGAGGGGATGGAGAGGAAAGTAAAGAGGATACTGGAGCTTTGGAAGTTTCAGGTGTGGGAATTGAAATGAAATATTAGGGTGAGAGATTGAGAGCAGAAAAGAGTTCTGGATGTTGGTGTCAGTGTTGATGTTTGTTTATGTGTTCGTTTGAGTGGGTGGGTGGGTGTGAGGGTTGAGGTTTCTTGTTTCTTATTTCTTTTCTTCTTGAAATGGGGAGGGATAGAAAGGAGTGATGATGATGAGGAATTTGTTTGAGGTGAGGTGATGGGCGGGGTTGGGGTTGGGGGTATGAGGTTGTGATGCGGTGGATGGGAGGGATGGGAGGGATGAGATGCGTAGTATATTTATTATAATTCAGAAATTTCTGGGATGATATGATATGAGATGAGATGGGGCCATGGGGATTGCAATGTAGGATTTGAATGTGGAATTTGAGATGTGATTTTGGGAGATATAGTTTTGAGATGTAAATTGAAGATGTGATTTGGGGATTGGATTCAAGGAAAGAGGGGAAAGAAGAGAAAGATAGATTGGAGATGTGGATATTAATATTTCAGTGACAAGTATGGAGAAGCGGGAAATGTGGTTAAGAGGAGATGTTAAGGGGTCTTGAGTGGAAGGCTGGAGGGAGTGGGGATCGTTCAAATGGAAGCAGGATAGATTCATGAGTTGGATAAAAAAGTACCGATGAAGTATTTGATTAGAATCTCCCAAATTTATCCCTGTATTTTATATATTCTCACTGCTAACTTTCCAATTGAGTATCTATCTATCTATCTGTCTATCAATCAATCAATATGCACGCTGAATCTTCCTTTCCTTCCTATCCTCGCAAATCTAAATCAAAGCATTTGTAATCTCCAGCTCAACACCCTCGTCTGTTTTTCCTACAACTTTCAAACTTTCCAAGTCTTTGACAACCCAATCGGCGCCGGCTTCGACAACTTGCTCAATGGTGTGTGTGGTTACTACGGCTAGGACTTTGCATCCGGCTGCTTTGCCGGCGCGGATACCGGCGGGACTGTCTTCGAGGACCAGGAGGGAGCCGTCGGGGGCGGTGGAGAGGTTGAGTTTGGCTTTTCCCATGTTGTAGCAAGCTGGTGGACGGGTGTTAGTGTGTTTTCTGGGGATGGGGGTTCTGAGAGAGAATTGGGGAGGGATACGAACCTGGATCAGGCTTTCCATTTGGAACATCTTCAGCGACGACGAGATGCTCTGGGATAGGGAGTTTGAGGACGTTGAGCCAGCCGGTCACGAGGGGGGAAGTGCCGGATGTGACGATGGCCCAGGGGTGGGAGGCGCTGGTTAGAGAGGAGAGGAGGGAGCGGGCGCCAGGGATTTCGACGGCGTCGTCGCCGTAGTTTTTGGGGAGGAGTCCTTCCATGTATTTTATGTCTGGGTGGAGTGTTAGGTTGTGGGTGGTTGCAAACTGGGGAGGGGGGTGGTGAAATAGATTAATGTGTTGATGGCGGTATGTGAAGTTGTAGAAGGGGAACTTTAGCGATGCCAATGTGGGCTTAAATAGATATATTGTGCATGAGAAGAGCCAGAAATTGGTCGCCCTCTCAATTAGTTTGAATCTGCTCCGTGATCTAGCTAGAATACGAATTCCACTCGGATTGAGCCTCTACTACCCCCTTCTAACCCTGTCGCGCCTTCGAATAGAATAAGACTCAAGAACTAAACCTGGTTTTCGAAGCATTCTCTCAAAGCCTCGCTAGTAGGTAGTATGAGAATAAACCGAGCAAGAAACTTCTTGCCTAATTAAGGGTAGATGAGAAGGGTGACAGCAATAGAAACATGATTGAAAGTTCAAGACTTGCAGGTGACAATAAACAGAGCTTACAATCCCAATTTGCTTTCTCTGGAGCAATAATCTTTAAGACATCAATACTTCTCCTTCCATGACTTGTCTGTAAAATCACATTAGGATCTACTCCTATTTCGTTACCTAACCTGGCAATTTTTGTTATTCAAAATCTCTCATGGTCATTATTGGAAAAGAGAATCTTACTGATGCCAATGTTTAACGATAGCATCGGTGCTATCAATAATAGTGCCATCCATATCGAAAAGTAGCCCCTTAAAGACCACTTTTTGAGGTGGGGCAGAAAACTCTCTTGGAATAGAGCCCATGATTTCTCCTATTGCAAAAATAATTGAATCGAATATAATAAGAAGATCGCGGTGATCAAAACACAAGTAACCGTAAGTAAATTGGTGGGGTGGATGTTGAGATGTGTGAAATTGGCGAGAGAGACCCTTTGACCCGTCTTAATCCGACTAAAACTTTGCAATTCTCCTCCTCAAATCAGATATGCAACAAAACTTTTTTTGTTGATAGATTCAGACCTCGTGATTGTTGAATCGTTGAGTGAATTTTTTGAAAAGTTTCTTGGGGAGTGGCAAGATTAAATAGAGAATGAGGAATGAAGGAAAGTAATGATGATTGATTCTGACTCTATATGAAGGCAGTTGACGTGGGCGGGGAGCACAAGCAATAAGTAGAAGCGTCTAATAAGGGAGTGTGCTCATCTCCATTGAAGCGGGCGGAATCATGTGACAATGTTGTCGGAGCTGCGTGATTGGGATTAGTGAGAGGAAACTAGAGAGAAAATGGCTTAGCGTTGATGGATTAGAAAATAATTTTAGTGCGATAAGGATTTGGAAAATCGAAAAATTCCATTATCGAAAATACTACAGTAGAAATCAACAACAGCATCTATCTGAGAATTGCACAACAGTACTCAAGATGCCTAAAGTCGGAAGTAAGTGAATGATATATGTTGTCATTCTTCAAAGGATTTAATAATTAATTGATTTGCAATTCAGAGCCAAAGAGTAAACGTGTTCCAGTGCGTCTTCGTCACAAGATCGAGAAAGCATCAGTCGCAAAACAAAAGAAAGCTCGTAAAGAGGGAAAGAAAAATCCAGAATGGCGATCGCGATTAAAGAAGGATCCTGGAATCCCAAACCTGTTCCCATATAAAGATAAGATCTTGCAAGAGATTGAGGAAGGAAGAAGGAGGAAGACTGAAGAGGCTGCGAAACGACGAGCTGATGCGAAGGCTACCAAGACTGGAGAGCAAGTGGAGAGAGAGGTAGAGGCTAGAATGGAAGGTGTTGATGAGGAGGACATTGAGCTTATGGACGAGGACGAGGACATGGACGATGATGATGACGATTCTAATCCTATGGCAGCTTTACTTGCTAGTGCCAAAGCTGCTGCGGCGCAATACGAAGATGACCTTGTTAGTGGAGACGAGATGGACGAGGATGATGATTCCGAATCGGAAGAAGATGATGCATTCGATGGTGTTAAGCTCTCCGGATTACCCACACGAAAGGATGGATCAAGAAAAGCTTTCGACAAGGTCTTCAAGCAAGTTGTTGATCAGGCAGATGTTGTTCTATATGTCCTCGATGCTCGCGATCCCGAAGGTACCCGATCAAAGGAAGTTGAACGTATGGTTATGGCTGCTGCAAGTGGTGGAAAGAGATTGATTCTCATTCTCAACAAAATCGATCTTATCCCTCCTCCAGTCCTCAAAGCATGGCTCATTCATCTCCGAAGATATTTCCCAACCTTACCACTACGAGCTTCTGGACCAGCAGCAAACGCACATACTTTCAATCACAGTCAATTGACTGTGAAAAGTACTTCGCAAACACTTTTCAAGGCTTTGAAATCATTTGCTGCAGCAAAACAACTCAAGCGTTCTGTTTCTGTTGGTGTTATTGGATATCCTAACGTTGGAAAATCTTCAGTCATCAATGCCCTTACATCCCGTCTTGGTGGTGCTGGTGCAGCATGCCCAGTTGGTGCTGAAGCCGGTGTCACTACATCTCTCCGATCAGTCAAGATCGATAGCAAATTGACCTTACTCGATTCTCCTGGTATTGTTTTCCCAACCGCCGGCGATAATTCCAAGGCATCTAAAATTGAAGAGCAAGCTAGACTTGTTCTCCTTAACGCTATTCCCCCCAAGCAAATTGAAGACCCTGTACCGGCAGTTACTCTGTTATTGAAGAGATTAAGCGCTTCCCAAGATATGCTAAACAAACTTATGGATGTCTATGGATTACCACCATTAGTTTCTGTCAATGGCGATTCGACTTCTGATTTCTTAATCCAGGTCGCCAGAAAGAGAGGAAGACTTGGAAAGGGTGGTGTGCCAAATATCAGCAGTGCTGCTACAACAGTCATCACAGATTGGAGAGATGGTAGAATTCAAGGATGGATGGATGCACCTGTTTTGGCCATCGCACCAGAGAAGATTGCTGGTGCCACCGTTGGCGAGGATGTCAAGGGTGACCAAAAGGAGATTGTTAAAGAGTGGGCTGAAGAATTCAAGTTGGAGGGATTATGGGGTGATAATTCTTCAAAGGATGAGGCTATGGAGGAATAGATTTTGCTGGATGGAAACAGTGAGGAATATCTTATGCATGATCATCTGTATGTGATTATCAGTATGGTGTTTGGCGTAATGGCTGGGTTTAAAAGTTGGCCGGGTCAGTCGGTTGTAGATATAAATTACAACAAAATAATCAACTATATGATGAACAATTTCGATTGAGCAACTTTTTGTGTTTTGTTTAGCGATACTTGGTGTATCAAACTTTCAAGTGAAGTGGGCATCTGTCGATTATCGAGATGTATAAATTGTGTTGAAATTCAATCTACACAACATGGATCATTGCTTGAAGTCTTGGAGTTAACAGAATATAATGTTTGAACTTATTTCATACTATTGGTTTCATTGTGCGTGGTTATTTGATGCGATAGAGCTCAAAGATTCAAGGGTTCCTGACACCATATAAGTTAAAAATTCACGAGAGAGATAGTTCGGGTCAACATAGTTTGTACGCGCTTCTGAATTCAATGTTTGAGCAAGAATGAAATCATTTGCAATAGATACACTTTCGTTATTAAATGTATTCTTATGCCTACCTAATCCATGGAGGATTTCTCGGGAAGAAGCTTTGTTCGACGCGGACCCCGATGATTTCGTATCAAATTGCTGGCTTGAGGAGGACAGCGATACAATGAAAGACCCCCCTGCTGCTACCTTTGGTTCTAGAAAGGGGAGATATTTTAGACTGTATTTTGTTGTAATATCATCTGGATTGTTGTTTCCCAGCCACTATAGTCATTCGATATCAAAGCTAGCTCTTCTGATGAGATAGCGAGCTTGTCCCAATTGATCCTCTTGTGTGCACTTCCAGTTTAGTCAAGCGGAACCTTCGTTTCAAAGTTTCATTTCACTCACGTGGTTCTTGGGTACACGAGGCTATCGCAAAATATAGTAATACTTGTAACATATCAGAGATTATATATTTCTACTATGATAGATGTCGCTAGCGGGAAAGTGATACGAAGGAGCTCATTTGACGCGGAAGTGAAGATCTTGACGATAACGGTTATACTATTTAGTTTTGGTGTTATAAATGATTAAAGTTAAGCTCAAAAAATAAGACAGAATTAGAAATTCACTTCCCCCTACATGGATATCGCCCATATACAGAATCATGAGGTACCAATATCTTAGAAATGGTGCGTTTTTGTTCTAGACCGACGGGTTGCCAACGGAATATCCCCTCGACAGCAGCATAGAGGTATGACAAGTTGGCCTGTCATTTGGTGCTGAAATTCTGTTATGTCCCACGATGGTATCTAACGCAGCATCTATCAGAGTACCAAGCTCGCATACGAGCCCGTTAAAAAGCTTAGTAACACTATCCTTTTTGAGAGTCTTCTTTACAGCCAGCGCCGGAGTATTTGAAGTTAATCAGTAGAGTAGTACCGAAGAAATAGAGATGTAGTATACAATCTAGTACTCAATTATAAAATAAGTAATACTCATGGCATCTAAATGAACTAAGTTATTACTGTACTCGAATTTGCGAAAAGTGTTACCAGTAGTCTGGAGGGTAGTTCAATTTGAGAGTTTGATCTGGAGATTTTATGAATACTACTATCCATTTCATGCATTCATTATCTCAAAAAAATTCAACAAATAAAACTAACTCAATGTCTGGAATAATCTCAGCATTTCAAGGGGTCTAAATTTTTTAAAATTTGGACTATTGGAATAATTAAAGTCCGGACTGATCGGACCTCCTACCTGAGAGCTAAAACATTGACTGTAAGCTTATGAAACTTAAGTTCATCTGACACCCTTCCCTAAACAAACTTTCCACCAAAATGGGCCGTCTTATTTCTCTGAACAGCTTCAAATTGTACAATTGGCAAATCTTCCAGCCGGAATCATCAATCACACATATTATTGACAGATATTTCAAGGATCAGCATCCAAACATCTCCACCATAAGTATTAGCAATGTCTTTGACCCGTTTGGTCAACAACGATGGGGGGTCCTTAGCATTCTCCAGCAAAAAAGTTGCCACATCGATATTTTCTTTCTCCAAAGCGGTAAAAACCGCCTTCTCTGTGATCAAAACATCTAACGATCTTATCATGCAGAAAATGGGCTCCAATTCGTCGAGAAAGTTCCATCGGCGATCCACTAAAATCTCGATATGGGAACTCCTGATCATATCAGTGCCACAAGAATCCAAAACAAAGGTCAGAACTTCGGGGTCTACACAATTGTCGAACAGCGAGTCAAAAACCTCCTGGTTGATGAACTGGATTCCCTTAACATCAAGTATTACTTTCCGAAATTGGTGAGATCGAGGCTTTGCATCAATCACTCTCTGTCGTGTTAGAATATGATGACCGAATTGCTTCACAAGATATGCGACAGTATTTGAGTCAAAACTTCTGAGGGCATTCATGACCATTTGCTCCGTGATCCAGTTGATGTGTTTGAATTCATACAGCCTCTTTACAGTTTCACAAGAATCATGACGAATAACTTCCGCTACCATATCTTCATCGAAAGTGTCTTCGTCCATAAGGACAAGAACTTTAGCAAGCTCACCCAGACCTCTGGTTTTGATTCTGTACTCAAAAACCTTTGCGGATATTGGTACCTCGTTGGAAGCTCTATATAGAATATCCAAAGCTCGCGATGGATCAGGATGGGCGTCGGTTCTCAAATGCCTTTCAAGTTGACGGAGAAAATGTTCTCGACTCTTCTCGTGATTTAGAAGGACATTTTCTACCTGCAAATGACCTTCAAGTTGTTCTTGGCTATTTTCATCTTGACTAGGTCAACCAGTATACCATGTCTTCATCAGCAATCGGCTTGCCCATATTGCCAGATTCTATGCGGTGCTTGTGAGCGACGGATATTCTAGCAGGATCAGCTTCGAGGTCTAGAAAATACTTCACTGAATCAGGGCTGCCATGTCTGATTGCCACAAGAAGTGGGGTAAGACCATGACGTGATGACACATCGACTGGTATCTTGTATTTGTTGAGCTTGTTCTCTAAAATCTCAGGGAGATTGAAGACTGCTCCCAGCATTTTAAGACGACATTTGGACGGATATTGATCTAAATATAGAATGCTTTCCGATAATTCGTCTGCAATGTCCGTCATCTGGGACCACGATCAAGTGACAGCTCGATAACTCTAAGAACCTCGTCTGCGGGCAGTGCAGTTTTGCAGCAAAATAGCCATCTACAAACTGACTTGAAGACGCTAGTACCGTAAGCTCCTGGCTTGGTGTTCATCAAATACACCGTTTCATAAGCACTATTCAAGGATTTCTCCGAGGAACTGGTCCCACTTTCAATATCCAACAGCTGGATCTCAATATTTTCGGGGAGAAATGTTTGAGTTTCGATCGGAAACATTATTGCAAGTTGCAAGGTGACCCATTTGAACCTAAGATTGAGTCAGTCACTCTGCTTGCGTCGGATAGGCATACAACCCAGATTCCACCCGCAAATCTCGATAGAACTCGCACTATCTGATCCATGAGTCTTCGCTTGGTTTCCTCGTCATTAGAATCAATGTCTTCCTCTCTAAATCTTACTTCGTTCTCAATGTACTCAGACATATCCTTCAATGTATCTTCAGTGGCCAAAATAACACCCTCTGATGCAGTGAACACCTTGTCCACATCTACATTCAATCGACTTGAAAAAACAAACTTGATACCATCAAGCTGCTTGACCTGAAGCTTTCTCAATGTTGCTAGAAGCTTGCTGAAATCAACGCATTCGTCAAGGGCATCTATGACGATGATGACTTTACTGACTCGTTGACACAATTTTAGAAGCGCAACCGACCACTCATCGGTTATCGGTATAGTAGGGTCAGGTGGTTTCGCACTTTCAAACATAGCAACGATTCTAGCTTCTATTGCGTTGCCATCTGGAGTCCATGCCAGCTGGGACACCAGACTTCGAATGACATCATCTGATGTTGTTGGCGAGATACAGTAGAAATAAATCATGCGCTGATCATCTTGTCTGGCTACATCAGAATAGAACGATTCAATGATGGTAGACATAATTGAAGTCTTTCCAGTTCCAATAGTCCCTCGCAGCCAAAAAGCAGGCGCTCCATTTTCATGCAGCCATTTGGTATATTCCTCGATAATCCATTCTCCAGCATGTGGGTACTGCGAAAGTAATTGTCGAGCAGTGTAATGCTGTGAGATGTATGGTTTATCAGATACCCATCGAATTACTTCGAGATTTTGGTCATCTGTCCTGTCTGGCTGTAGAATCTGCTCTCGTAGTTCGTTCTCGAATCGCTTTTGGTTTTGTGAGTCATTTAGTTGTAGATTGGTCATAGAATTGTCCCTGTAATCTTCGATCTCGCTGAGCAACTTTTTCCATTCATCTTTCCTGAAAATCGACGCAGCGTATCTTGCAATTGTGTGTCTGCTGAAATTATTGATTGCAGTCGCCTCATACCGAAGTATCTTCCAGTACAGAGTCACAATCGATTCCTTCAGTTGTTGCTCCGATTTGTCTTGTGGGAGATTGAGATAGTCTCAATTGACAGACGTAAATTCTTGGACGATCTCTACAACTTTTTGTAGCCCATTCAATGCTGCCTCCTGTTCTTCGGAATGGTTCAAAATGAGCTATGAAAATCAGCTCCGGTCAAGAGAGAGTAATATCACACCCACCGGTAATAAAACAGACACACAGGCCCATGGAATTCCCGCATGAACGGGGTCAAGTCCGGCGGCTGTGTCTCCAATTGGCTTGATTAATTTGAAGATTTTGACAATCTTATCAAACTGTGGTCCAATTTTAATTGCTTTCTTGCGCCAATATAATACCCATTGCTTGTCCTCCATTATACTGCGCTTTCTAAAAAGTAAGTCGCCAAGCTCTTGCTCTTGTCTCACATTGTTTTTGACATCAGAATCCTTTTTTATGATCGACTGCAATCGCTTGTATAGATTTGAATCTTCGCGCTTAAATTTCTCATATGCTTCCTTCCATAAAATGTCATTCTGATTTGTCAAAGCTATGAAGGTTGTTGCCGATGATTCTTGCACAGACGCTATAATCGCGGCTCTGTTTGTTAAAGTTCTCAACAATACGTGAGATTTCCAGAACTTACAGACTGTTCTAGAGTTGGACAATCAAAAACACTTGTCGCAGTTGTCATCATGTTGCGATGCTCCAAATATTTCATGCATGACTGACACCTTGTCAGCATCACGTGGCTGTCAGCTTCAATGCAACCATCGTTTGCCACTTCACTGCTGAGACGAATGAAAAGACACGAACTCCATATTTCTATTCTACCTACCTATTGCACTGCGCATTTCCCTTATCGATATCGACAAATAGTTCTGTGGACCTGCGAAGGGAATTGGAAATAAAGTGACCGCACAACAACAATATTGCACTGGGAAAGGAGCATCGATCCGCATCTGCCAAACTTGCACACGTGATGCTTTATCTCATTACGCCTGTCATGCGTTCTTTCTCCGAGTACTAAGACTCTCGACAAACTCGTATTAATTAAGATCTAAATATTCCTACGTCAACATTACCGCATTCAACCCTTAGCTTCACGATTGTTAAGACAAATTTTGTGCATTATTCTTCAAACCGCTGTTGGCCGACATCCTTTCTGTTCAAGTCCAGGTCTTGAGTAAGAAGAGAAGTAATAAGACCCAGACCTCCAAGCCCTGCCATCGTATAGAAAATAGTCTTAAAGCACCCAAGATAGACTCTTAAAACGGCATCCAGGACCTTTGGGGATATTTCCAGAGATCTCAGCTCTGGAATGAAGGAAACAGCTTTACTTGGGTTATTGAGCTGAGAAAGAGATCCTGTCAATTCGACAGCGGCAATGGAAGTAGAAAATACCGAATTAAAGATCGTTGACGCAACTGTAGGTCCAATCAGACCTCCGAACATTCGAATAGTCAGCAATAGTCCGATTGCCAAGCCGATATCATCAACATTTTTCACGCTTGCCTGGATAGTTAGCAGAAGAAGACGCAGTAAGGACACGCCCATTCCCCAAAGAATTGGAAGGCCAAAAAGTAGCGATGACGAAGATCCGACGTCAAAAAGAGCTAGCAATCCAGTTCCCAGGATTATGATAATCCAGCCAAATCGTATGATCCATACATATCCACCAACGACCGAGACCATCATCATCGAGATAGCTGCGAATACTACACTGATGATAACGGTGGGAAGCAAGGAGACCGCAGATCGGATGGCTGTCTCGAGCTCCACGGTCTGGTAAAACAAAGGCAGATACTGTAACAGTGAAATCAGGATCATACCATGCACGAAGGCCGCCGCCAAGGTCATGTTTGCAGTTCTCGAGTGGAAGAGACGATGAGGTAGAATAGGCACACTGGGCTTAGCTTCATATACCACAAATATAACAAGCAAAACGGCACCTAGAAGTATTGGGAGGAGTGTTTGCCACGACTTCCATGGGAAAAGTGAGCCGGCCCAACTGAGTGGTAGGACAAAAATCGTGATACCAGTTACAACCAGCATCATACCAATCCAATCGAGTTTCTTTAGGTTGGCAGATAATTTTTCATCGAGCTCAACTGGTCGTAAATGGAGAAAGAAAACAATCAGAGGCGCGCTGATTCCTAATATTGGCAAGTTCACCCATCCAATCCATCTCCAGCTTGCATAACTACTAAAAATGGCTCCAATTGACGGTCCGAGAATATTCCCTACGGCATTGGGGATTGCCATTAGTCCAAGACAGAATGAACGTTCCTTCAATGTTGTAATATCCGAAAGTATAATTTCCACAAGTACGTCGATTCCTCCTCCGCCAAATCCTTGAAGCACTCGACCGACGATAATGGTATTCATGTCCTTTGCAAGAGCGAAGACGATTGAGCCGATAAAAAAGAATGCCATGCATATATAGAAGGATGGCTTTCGACCGAAGATATCTGATATACTGGCCCAAAGTGGTTGCATAATGAGACCACACAGAGTATAGGACATATTAGCCCAGAAGCTCTGCAAACTTTCGCCATGTAATTCCTCCGCTACAGTCTAAATGAAGAATGAGCATTAGCATAGTCTTGTAATCTTTTGTAGGAAGATAGAAGCTTGAGATAGATGCGGTATAAGAAGGTGAGGAATCTAGAGGGACTCACTGGGAGGGAAATTCCGAGAGACGTTGCATCCATTTGGAAAACAAACATACTGGCAGCAAGGCCTATAAAAGCAAGCTTAAAAGATAATGACTTTTTGGGTCTTCCTTCGATGATAGCTTCGTCGATATTTTCAAGACTCGTTTCTTGTAGTGCACCATCAGCACGATTGGTTGTGACTTCCGTCACTTCTGCCACTGTTTTTGGATCCTGATTCGATTTTTCTTCAAGAGATGTAGCCATCACGACGGCGGTATTGGTGTCAATCTGATTCGTGTTTTACAATACATAGTCTGGAAAGGTTTTGGCAATTCCACAATCTAAGTCCTTCAATCGCTAAATATAAGGAGCCAGAAAGTCGTGTGTACCTTGCACTCTAACCCATGTACCCCTGAGTAAATCTTCGTGGTTTTGGGTACCTCGCACGTGATGTAGTTACTGAGCAAGCACTAGCTTGAAAACCTGATTTCCGGCATTACCGTTAATTTAAGGGACGACAGCATCCTTGATGCTCGAGGTCTTGTCAATAAAATCACTCAAATTTCTATGTGCGCATTGCAACATCTAGAAATTCGAAAAGGGAGAACTCTGTGTAACGAGGTAGATAGAATTGTTACATAAGCGACATCCGCTGGGACCCCCACTCTCGACTGCTTCACATAGCCGAAGTGATAGGCCGGGATTGACCAGCCTCTGGAAGGAATTTATATCTATAATTTGTGGATTCGCTGTACGATAAAGATAACCAAAAATTATTCTCGAAATAGAGGATCTCTGAATCTCTGTTTGGTTGTTTGGTTGTTTCAGGTCTTGACACCTTATCTGAAATGGATCTGTAATTCAGGGACATTGAAAGCCGTCAAATGCCGCCAGGTTTTTTCGGCCACGTAGAGCCTCCCTGTCTCAGATCATCGAAATGATTGGCTTCCATTTCACCAACAGACACAACTGCCGCAAAAGACTCAAATTTGCATACCTAATGAAAGCAATGTCGATCGCCCCGTAGATCTCAACGAAACTTGCTTTTTTGATGATGTAGGTATATATGCTCTCGACGATAAAAGAAGATGGTCTCTTCAGCTTGCGAAAATGACCGAACCTAGCAGTCGTGCAAAAAAATTCCGATTGAAGATGAAGAAACTCGTTCAAAAAGCAAAGGATCATATACGCTCTGGTTCGTCCTCTTCTCAGACTTCCCCTTCGGATTCTGCCCGGCCCGTTAATAATATTCATCAATCTCGCCCCTCCACTATCTCTCCGCCCACTGTTAGTGAAATCCTCCGCTATCGTTATCACTTTGGTGTCAATCTTGGTTCAATTTTTGTTCTCGAACCATGGCTCTTCCCTAAATTTGTAGGGGGTGCATCTTCGGAGCTCGATGCTGTAACTTCTTCTGTTAAGAGTAATGGTGTGGAAGCTACCCGGCAAAAATGGGAGGCACATTGGAAAAATGCCGTTACCGATCAAGCTTTCGGATGGTTGTCCAAATCGGCAAAAGGAACTAGTATCCGATTACCGGTCGGATATTTCACTCTCGGACCAGAGTTCTGTGTCGGAACACCCTTTGAGAGTGCCAAAGACGTCTATCAAAATTCCTGGACGATGGTAAAAGAGTTCATCACTCGGGCTCGCGCTCTTGGAGTGGGGGTTCTGGTTGACCTCCACGCGCTACCCGGAGGTGCAAATACAGACATGCATTCGGGATCCAGTACCGGAAAAGCAGAACTCTGGAGTTCTAAGAAGAATCTCGAGCTTGCGAAAAGGGCGCTTTTGTTCATCGCAAAAGAATGTAAGGAGCTGGATGGGGTAATCGGTATTCAGCTCTGTAACGAAGCATGCTGGGATGCCGGAAAGAAAGGAATGTATGATTTCTACACTTCCGTCATTCAATCTATCTCCGAGATCGACTCTGAAGTGCCCATCTACATAAGTGATGCATGGGATCTCTCTTCTGCTTTGAAGTGGACCAAAGAACGGGACTGGAAATCTGGAAAGGTTCCCAGCAACCCCGTCATCATTGACACACACAAATACTACACGTTTGCAGAGAAGCATCGCTCACAGAGCGCCCAAGAGTTAATCCATCGAATACCTACTGAACTTGGCGAACTGCCTAATTGTAGCCCAAGTGCCACACATCTCTCATCTGGCGGAGAAACACAAATTATAATTGGCGAATACAGTTGCGTTCTTGACGACAAAAGCTGGGCAAAATCTCCACCCGCTATGAAGGAAGAATTAACTCGAGAATTCGGACGACATCAATGCAACAAATGGACGGAGGGATGTAGTGCGGGGAGTTATTTCTGGACATGGAAAATGGAGTGGATGGATGGAGGTGGCTGGGGGTTTGTGGAACAGGTTAAGAAGGGTAATATAATTGCTCCGGCTTATATGAGCTGGTCTGTGGAAGAAGTCAAAGAGAAATTGATAAAGGCAGAAATGCAGAAGAATGAGATTATGCAGAAGATGGTGAAGGACCATATAAATTATTGGACACATGAAGATCCTGGAAAGGAGTTCCGGCATGACTTGTATGAAAAGGGGTGGAAGGTCGGGTGGGAGGATGCAGCGGCGTTTTTTAAATGGAGAGGAGAAAGGGGCGGAGCAGATAGACTTGGATCTTTAGAAATTTGGATCAAGAAGCGACTGATAGAGTCTGGAGAGCGAGGAGAGTTCTTGTGGGAATTGGAACAAGGGCTTAGATGGGGTGTCAGAGAGTTCGAGAATTGTGTTGAGATGTCTTGAGCTTCAAGTGGGAAGTAGAAAGATTAAGCAAAAAGATCATAAGAAATAAAAAGATTATAAGAAATGAAAAGATTGTGGGAACCAGAAAGATTGTAGAGAGCAAAAAGATTATGGAAAGCAGAAAGATTGCTAAGCTGAAGCTTATAGGAAATGGAGACTTATGCTGCGTGTCTTCACGAAATATTTTTTAGACCACCGATATAATATTTCTATTAGAAATCTATTTTGCTTGACCTCGCCAACCGCCAACTAGATTTCCAATTCTCTTTGGGGGGGGCGGAGTGAAGTCATTTGTCATGAAGCTCCTCCGGCCTTCGCTTGAACCTAGTAACGTGGGGTTCCTTCCGAGCGATGGAGCTATATAATCTGCAAAAAGTTCGCGATGGTAGGTATTCATGTGGGGGGTATACCCTGCCATTCGTAACGTTGAGGAAACTATAGCGCCGATGTTATCATCTCAAAGTGAAGAGCTCGTATCCTCATATCCAACAGACGAGCTCCCTTTGCTTGAGTCGATGAGGCTCTTCGCTTTAGCCTGGTAGGCTTGCCAATCCTGCAATGCAATCAATAACTCATTCAATCATATTGTACTTCCAAGATCTACCTACAAGTAATCTTACAACACATTCCGAAGGTAGCCTACGAACAGACTTGTATAACGGGAGTGCCATCGAAACCAACATATTTAAAGTAAACGTAGTTCATACAGCTTTCACGATGTTCGTAAAGGCTGGTACTGCAAATTGCGAGTGATTTTACAGAGAAGATGATCGAAATCGAAAGATACTTATCTTGACTCCGAGAAGTATATACCGGGAAAAGTATTCCGGAGTGTCTTAGCTAGTCTGGCACTGATCATTCTGCTATTTTCTCATCGGCAACTGAATGCCATATATCAGCCGAAACAAAATACGATTACTAGTCCGATCTGGAACTTTTATCGATGGATTTTCCCAAGGAAAAAAAAAAGGTTTAACACTCGGGTCTGCCATTTTTCACAGTCGGGAGTATTCCATTCCATGAGCGGGCCATGGATGAAAGTTTAGTTCCCGTCAAAGCCATTTTTATCTGTAATCCGCATAATCCACTGGGACGTTGTTATCCCAAAGAAGTACTGACTTGGATTACATTTCGGATGAAGCGTATGGGCTATCAGTCCATAATGATCATGTACTTCAGAAGAAAGAGGACTTTATCTCGGCTTCGTCAATAGACTACAACGAAGGTTCTGTCCACGTTCTCTATAGTCTTAGCAAAAACTTTGGCTGCAGCGGAATACTTCTCGTGAGTTTATTATCCACATGTCAACCCCCAAAGCATACCACTAATCCCAAATATGAAAACATTGGGTGCCAATTATCAGTCTAAACAATGTCGCTCCTCGTCTCGGTGGTGCTCTCACAGTTCACTGCCAGGTTTCTTCTGCCGCTAGTCTCTTCGCAACTAGAAGCATTTTGCGGCAGGAAGACATAGACTTTGTGGTGGTTCACAACGGTAAAATTCTGCAAAAAGCATATTTGAGGGTGAAGAACTTTCTTTTGGCCAATGAGATCGCATTCATTCCTGCCACCGCAGGCATGTTTGTATTTGCGCAGCTTTATCCAGATGCCGAAGCTCAAACAGAGAACGAATTCCAAAGAAGATTAACAGTAGTTGGTCGCTCAGTGCAGGGACAAGCTACCACTATACAGAGCCAGGCTGGTTTCGCATTTGCTATGCTTTAGAAGGTTCCGTGTTACCAGCGGGACCTCAAAGACTCAACGAATGTGTAAGTCCTGACAGAGATAAGATTCTGCCTTTCATGAATAAAACTCCTGAATCAAACGCAGAGAGCTGCTAGAATTGTCGCAGGGTCATTTTGATCCGACTGTAGAGTAGTGCAATGCTGGTTAGCACTTTCAAGCACGTGGGAATCTAACGCGTGCGAGTAGATAAGATTAGGTACCGTAACCACTATTTATAAAAAATCGAACTCTGGACAATGGAAACGAATATGATGATCTTGGGAATTTCAGAGATTGTGATATCTGCCAATATATGTATGGTCTCTGCGGCATTGAAAACCTGTATTGCATGCATGATCTTGCGTAATTTCACATTTTAGGTTTCTTCACTCCCGGTGAGCTAGGCTAGAGCTTCTACGCACAAACCAGTAATCGTTATCAAGCACGTGCCACTTTACCTAAATCTTAACCTTGAGTCTTTTACTCATCCTACCGAACCCACCACGTTTTGTCAACTCGCAATTTCAGTGGTCAACATAATCTGAGCAACATCAATAAAAGCCTCATAACCAATCGAATGAAGCACGCGACATTTATATCGTCCTTGAGGGGCGTGAATTTCACAATTGATCTTCGATAAAGTTGCGCAAAGATATGAGATTGTTTCCGATATCATTTCTAGCTGCCGGAAGTGCTAGTCTTTGAAATGGTTCGAAGATATAATGTAGGTCGTGTTACAGCAAGATCAAATCCCTTTGGTTCTTCTCTCCTTTGTTCATTATCCTCCAATTCTCTTGATTTCTCCAAAGTTGAGTGAGATTATCTTATGTTCCCTAACATTTGACCACCTTCAAGCTCTCTCCAAAGCGCCTCTTTCTCAAAAATTCACATTTTGCCATATTTCAGTCATTTCTTATTCATATCTTGAAATAATTATTTACCTCAATTTGAGTCAAAAGGGTCAATTTTGTCGTAATACGCGGTAGGACCTTCTATATTGAGCACAAGACCAAGTCAAGTTACCTAAATACCTCATTTTATAATGCCTCGTCCAGCTCATCCTCCTACCCCGGCATCATCAACCGAAATCAAGGGAAAAGATGGTTCGAATTATTCTTCACTACAGATGTCATTTGAACTTCCTCCTCCTGCTGTAGCAGGAGTGGAATCTCGACCAACCAGTTCCTCTACCCAAGCATCATCTGCCTCGTATCAACCCGCTTCCCCAATCTCTCCAGCCATTCCTGCAAGTGAAGCTGTCAAGCTTCGTCGAAGAACGGCTGCACAAACCACTGCGAAAGATTCCTTCGCACTACCTCCTCCGCCTACACGATCCCGAAAGATTATACAGATGAAACCTCGAGGGCAAAGTGATGAGATAATGGATACACCCGCAGAGAATACGAAGTCTGGTGGGAAACCTACATCAAATACGCCCAAGAAGAAGCAACCCTCCTCAACGAGTGTGGCTGGACGAAAGATTGCGAGGAAGACTGCACATAGCTTGATTGAGCGTCGGAGGAGGTCAAAGATGAACGAGGAATTTGGTGTATTGAAAGACATGATACCGGCTTGCACGGGAGAAATGCATAAGTTAGCAATTCTACAAGTGAGTACAAAGTAGATATCCCATCTATTTTCACATGCTAATATCTGATAGGCATCCATCGATTATGTGAGATATCTCGAAGATTGTGTTTCCAAGCTGAAGGCCGAGAATGCTCGGGGCAACTTCTCTACAAACACTGGAGAATTCACGTTACCGCCATCAGCACATCGTGGGAGCTATGATCCGTCACGTCATGAACATTCCACACGTGAAACAGAAGAAGATATAGAAATGGCTGGGTCCGAAAACCCATCTACCAATTACACTACACCTACACCCCCATCCCAACAAACATCGCCTGCCATGCTCCCACAAGATTCTCGTCAAAGACAGGATTCATATTCTTCGTACTCAACAGATTCTCGTCATTATAGCCTCAGTACCTCATCGACCACATCTCCCGCTTTAGGCTCTTCAGTCTATGATTATGCTCGAAGTATTGCGTCGGTAGGATCGGCACTCACGAGTCCTGCTCTCATACCGCAAAGAGATCAAAGAGATATAGATGAGGAAGCAAGTGCGGCGTTATTGATGCTTAATTCAGATCGTAGAGGTACGAGCTTTAGTGGGGTTCGAGGAATGAGTGTTAAGGATCTACTGAGCTCTTGAGCAACACGGGATGAGGTCGGAATATCATATTTAGCGTTTCCTTATCACAGGGGAATTTCGGAAATGGAAGACATGAGGTTAATATTCTTCAAGGCGACTGGTTGGCTGTTTGAAAATTCTAATATCCGGTTGGAGCTTCTTTTGAAAAAGAATTAGGAATCATTAGCATGTTTGCAGATTGCTACGGAATTGAGATTTCTGTCAACTTTGGATATATTCAATGAAGGGATGAGACAATAACAAAGCTTTGAAGCTGATCAGCTATGAATTCTAAACAATGCGATCGCAAGATACCTTCAAGAAACACGACTTGTTTACTCAGTGGCTTTTCACTTGAAGATGAGAGGTTGATCAGGAGAATGCAAGTGTTAAATCTCTTATCACAATGTGGATATTCAACCATGCTTATCTGAAGTGTTTGGAATAATCAGATGAGAAGGGTGTCCCAAAAGCTTTCTTGTGAAGTCCTAAGGTTACACAGTTGAAGAATCCGCCTTTAACTCAAGTGTCCACGGGTTACATTGAAGACTGACTAGATACTCATCTCAGATCGAAACTGAGACCAAAAGATTCAACTTCAACTTCAGCACTTGAATATATCATCCAGCTGGATGTTGGAATGGAAATTCATATACCTAACACGACAAATATGCAATGAAAGAAAAGTATAGTATCAATCCAACAGTGAGTGAGGAATGGGAGAAATACCTAAGAAAGGGAGTGAGAAGAGATTGATGTGGAACGGAGATGATTGTAGATTGAATGTTGATATGGGTATGGGTATATCTACGTTGTATGTTATAGTAGTTTTTGTATTCGGAAACACATTCTCGGAATAATCAACCAATCAGCAGGATTTGATAGATACATTCGTATATAAATCTAAATCTTGTTCGGATTCAAATATTTCTTCTAATTTCGTTGTTTATGCTTTGTGTGAAGGAAGTTTATGCAGATGAAAGTGATCACACCGCCAATTGCCTACTTAATGATTCTCTATAACTTTATCACACAATCATAATATCTGGCTTGTCTGAGACTGGGATAGTATTTGATTGTCAAATTCCAATTGCGATATTGAAACATATTTTCTGACAAATTTCACTTTTAGTGTTCTATTCTATTTGGAACAATGGAAAGCTTCTGAGGCGAAAATTAGGTTACAATGTCCTGGTCGATTACAAATAATGAGAACAAGTTGATATTTGATCTGGATTCAGACAATTGTGAAAAGGTATTGTGTATTTACGAGGGGGTAAATTGAAGAGGAAAAGAGTATTATGGTGCGTACAGGTAAGACGTAAGATATTCTGTAAGGTCTTCTTTGTGTAGTTTAGAAAAAGACAGCCTATTCCCATCATTCAATTGTTCCCATATATAAAATCTCCGCCTAGAGGAGCGAGAGGCTCAAGATCGGAGTCCTCAACTAGAGTTAGATCTGGCTCGACAAGGATACTTGGTCTTGGAGGCAGAGCAAAGATGGACTTGAGAATGGATATGCGGTAGATCGACTTCTGAGGTATATGGAGTTTAGCTTGGTTGGTGATTGGATTGACTATTCTCATCAAAGAGATGTTAGTGTTTGGTGCTCTGGAGGCTCCGTTGAATGGTGGTCGTTGGGGTACATAGGCTGGATGATGGACCCACCAATGTGATGAGGCTTAGGGTGGTTCTTGGAACGTTTGATGACCTGCCATCTGTATACGACAGAGAACTGGTTGTGTTGGCAAATCCTCCGCTCGGGGGAGCGAGAGGAAGTTCATTAGAAGGTTCAAGTTCAACAACGAAGTGTGGATTGGGAGCAACCACATCCTTCGGTCTTGGAGGTAAATTGAGTCTGGGTTCGACTGACATACCAACGGCTTCGGTAAGAAGATGATTGACGTTGACAATGCTGTCAGGTTCTCCGCATGGGAGAGCGAGAGAATTTGAGTTATTCTTGATACGAGGAAGGTTCTGAGGCATTGAACGTCTTCTGGAAATGATGAAGATGGGATGGTACGATATGGCCAATTATATGTGAACAGTCGAGTGAGGATTGGAAAGAGTTGATGAATTGTGAAATTACAGAGTCGCTGTTGTGAGAAAGATGAAGAAGATGAAGAAGATGAAGAAGATGAAGAAGATGAAGAAGATGAAGAAGATGAAGAAGATGAAGAAGATGAAGAAGATGAGCAAATAGCAAAACGGGGAGTTTTATATAAAAACAAAGTAACTTGTGCTATCCTCACATATGGTGACTATGAGTGTCGTCTCTATTACGACGAGAATATGCTAGAGGGAGGAATGAGTATGTGCTGGAAAAGGAATGGATACCTAGGTAATATGTTGGAGTGGGAACTTGTATGTGCTAGAGTGGAGGATATGTGTCAGAGACAAATCAACACATCAATCCGATATTTCAACTAGAAATGAAAGGTGAATAAACTAGTACATGTACCAAAATACAAGGCAAGAATTACTACATCATCAATCTTCAATCATTATCAATAAAATTTCCTTGACATCAACCTTTCCAAGTGGATAAATAAGCTCTCTGATAAATCCATACCGATATCGGAATGGTATTCTTTTGTTGCATATCTGTATTGACAAAATTGGCATTGATCCAACGCTTCTTGCATATTCACAGATCCCATTTTGGTAATTACAGAATATACCAGACGTCAAATGGACGGTCAAAGGACGGTGGAAGACCTTGATCAACATTTACCAGCACTCGAAGTATGGAATAATCTATGAAAATGTTCATCTCAACTCAAGATGGTTTGTGGCCAAACTCCCATATATTTTGTATGGTCATGTAAACAAAGTCTATCTTTAGACGAGGATTTAAGTTCATGGTAAGGGGTACCCCTTAGTTTTTTGATATCCTTACTAAAAGTGCATCAACGATATGTTCAGCTTTATGATGTATTCTGCCTTATATTGGGACATACCTTTCGGTGATATCTTTCTTCTACTCGAGAAGTACATATCTCATCCCCATAACCTATTAATACAACAAATCATTTGTATTCAAAATTCTATCATAATTCAACTGCTTGCTTATACTCTACTCAACAGTATTATCAACATCGATCTTCTCACCTCCCTCTTTTTCCATCCTTCCCCTCTCCTCTTCTCCTTCTCATTAAAGTTATGACAATCATAAACAATCTTGTCCAAATCATCCTATATAGACGTGAAATACCTACTCAAATCTACATAAGCATTCACACATATTCTACAAATTCTACATCATTCACCTTTATCTTCTTCTCTTCTTAGTTTCTTTTCAACTCGTTTTCACTACATAACTTGCAAAAGTATCCTACTGATCAACCATAGAGTTCATATTCTTCAACTCTCATTTTCATCATAGAATGTCTTTGTACATTACATCCTCTTCATTATGACATCCAATGCCTACTCATCATATTCTATCATGTAATGCTTGATAGATATAAGTGAAGATCTTATGACAACTACAAATCACTATCATTCATCCATACCTCCCTTCCACACAATCCAACCGTAGTTAGCACAAGTAATATACAAACATATACATTTGTTGAGCATATACTTATTTGATCATGTTGATCATTACCAATAACATTTTATCTCACAAGTGTATCTCATAACTCCTACACAAAGCATAAGAAAGAAGAATAAAAGAAACCTTTTAAATATAGATATCATTCACCACTATATTCATTTCATTCTGCTATTCAATTAACTAATACAGGAACACATTCTTTATCTATTTTCCTGGTAGATATTTAGAGATCAATGTATAGAATATTTCATTCGATATGATATTTCTTCCTTACGTTAACGAGTGATATATTTACTACATGCTGTCATTGGATGAGCAATATTCAGAGAAGAAAAAATGTAATTTTGATGAATAGGATAAGACGAATCGGAATGAATTATTGATGTTAGATATAAACTGATGTAGGATGATATAATACATACTGAATTGAATCATAAATTATAAAGTGTATTATTCTTCATTCTTTTCAAAATTAACATGCGATGTATTTATTTGTCTACTATATCGAAAATACATGTATCCCATTCTGCCAATCAATCATGTATTCTAAGACTGTGTTTTCATGTATACGAAATGAGAGACAACATTGAGACTGTCCGATTCTGCCGCATCCATGTCCGTCTACTCCATCCCTCTTCCCATTCCCCGGTAGACGCGGATCCCTCGTGCCTCTTTGATTTCCGCAGAATCTGATGTTGTGATGAGATGAGAGATCACAGGTTAAATCATGGATCACAAGATGGTATTCTCATTCTCTGTTGCGGTGTTTGAGAGTGCGAATGAGGTACTGTACAACTAGATTTCCATATCTGTTAGCCAATGTTATAAAATACAAGATGAGAGTTATGTAATACATATCGTTGATGAAGTTTTGGCAGAGAATTAGTAATCCTAAATATAAATAATCTCGAGTCGAGACAAGTACTTTCCTAGCTTATTCGATACTTTGGATGTTAAAATAACTTCTACTATCCATTTGATATCTAGCGCAATCTGTGATTACCAAAATGGGATACCTAGAAGATATGCAACAACCTTGGAAAGGAATACAATTCCGATACCGCTACGTATCTGACGCAGATGTTATTCACCTAGAAAGCTTGATATTGAGAAAGTACTTTGGGTCAACAATATGTAATATATCAAATATGAACGCTGAGAAGCATTTATGAATATAAGTTTGAGGTGGATATACATATGCTCGGAAAGGTAATTACATGAAGGGAGGAGAATAAAGGCATGAGAAAAAAAGATAGGTGGGAATAATTTGTTATAAGGATCAGGATGGTCCAAATATATGAGCTTTCATTGAGTTGAAAGATTCCTTGACCCATTTAAAGAATATATTTATGAATAACCAGTTTTTGATTTAATATAATTCCAATTACAAGTTCTCCACCGTGATGATGTAGCTTAACCTCACACGTAGTATAGCCTTATAACACATATTCGAACTCACCGAAAAGACTCCAAATCAGATCATCAAGCTTGTGAATTAGATATTAAGCAAGGATGTACATAAATATCCTTAAGTATTTCCATCCCGTATGCGCTCCGAAGATGACACAAAAATAGAGTTGTACAACAAGGGCAAAGGGTATCTCGTGCTAACTATGAAATATGAAGCAAAAATGGCCCCAGAAAAAAATGGTATCGTAACTTCGCGCATAAATTCGTCGTCCTCGATTATCGTCTTCACTCATCGTTCTTACTCGTCGTCTAGTATACTACTAGCCAGTCTTCCAAAAATTGGGACTTCGCATCGGTCTAGAGTATCCGCTATTTTGGGGGATTAGATGTGTTAAGTTGGAATTGGAGTATGTTTACCAGTGTGGATAAAACAAAGATAGAGCCAGGGAGTGAGAGAAGAATATAGAAGACTTACCATCTAGATATGCTCTCCTAGTTAGCCAGATTATTAAACTGATGTCTCCTAGGAGCAATAACCATGACATGGATGGGCCTAAATCTAACATTAATACCAATGCTCAAACCATAGGATTTGTGTTCTTCTCTCAGGAAATTCCTGTATGTCTGAGGACGGGTAAGGGAGAACTCACTCCAGGAAAACATCAAATGTACAACAAACATGGCCGTAAACAGCAAAGCGGACTGCCAAGCGTGAAACCTATCGCCATTGTTCAGCACTGTCTCATACAATCATCACACTGCCTCTCGACATAAAAACCTTCACTTCCCACTGAAAAGCAATCTCTCATAACTGACCTCACGTAATCACTCTTCCTCTCCAGAACCAAAAGCAATACACCCCCAGCAGGCGGCAAAAGCAGATAAGCCAAACAAGCCTCATAATCCAAGCGCAACGGGAGACTCGTTTCAAACTCATGTAATCCATCTCTACTTCCCCCACCATACCCCGCACCTCCACTTACACTTCCCCCAACATTATATCCCCCTCCAATCCTCCCGCTCTCTACGTCCTGATACCCGTCTCCAGTATTCACAGTCGGAAAATATCCATCTCTCTCTCGTTCTCGCTGCGCCCATGGATTTGGAGTAGTACTTGGAGCGAAATTTCCATTTTTCGCCGCAGCATTACTAGTACTTTGCAGAAATGCTGGACTGCGAACTCCGGGACTGAAGGACCTACGAATAGGCGAAATACTTTGACGGGGAGAAGAGGTAGAAGTACGTGGTGGTGGAGAGAGAGCCCGAGTTTCTTCTGGGGAAGCTTGATAGGGTGCGAAATCCATCTTAAAATCTTATTTTATTGCTGGAATGCGACGAGTAGATATGAGAATATGAATAGGTGATAGGTAAGTTTTGAATATTAGAGATGCGAAAGAAGATGTTATAATAGCAGAAATATCTTCGAATGGACTTATTATTAACAGGTCAGATCAGATCATAGAATCATACGAGATACGTTTATTGAAACGAAAAACTCTTCTGTTTTCTTTTTTCATAAGGGTTTGTTGAAGAATCCTAATGAGATGTTTGTTTTATCGCGATAAACGCTTTACGATATTATTATTATTCGATAGTGGATCATTCATCGTTATCAGTTAGGTGCCTGAGGCATATATGCATGTCTATCACAGTGGCTTTCCATGGCGGAGTCAAAGTATCACGCCAGCGGGTCCAGTTATTCAGCAATAAGAGCGGAGAATTTACGAGCCCCGCCGGAATTATTATTGGAAATCGGAATGGTATAATTGAGCATCATCGTTTATTACTCTGTTAAGAACTTCCACACTCACATCACACGATAAACGAAAAGCTCAATCTGTACACTAAAACAGAAGCTCGAGATACTATTTGATCATGTATCCTTTTTGGACTAGGTGGCTAAAATTTTACCGTCATAAGTTTGGAAGGTTAATACCAAGGACGAATGTACACGTTTAGTCCAACAATTGGCTTGACAGATCATATGATGGGTGATTTTCCAAATGTTCAAGACTACCAAGCCCAACAGTTGGCCCCGACTGATCATCACCATTTGCATGGTCAGTCGAATCCGACTTTTGGCATTGGTATTGCAGAATAACTTCTTCAAATTATTATGCTACTATGCGATTCATTTCATATATCGCTTATGACATCGGTAAGTATCATAATCCAATGCTGCCCGTGAGAACGGTAAATCGAGCCTTCAAAATATCCTTCCACTTGTATGCACGCACCCTTGTATCCCAAATCGTATCCTCAATCCTGAACACCGTGCTCCGTATACCTGCTCTCTTTTCGTCGTAGGAAATCAAATCTTCCTGATATATTCAAGTGCGCTGGAAGATTTGTGAAATGCTGGTTAAATAGTCGGGGTTTCGTGATTCATCTAAACTCCACTGCCTGGAAACACCCCCTGTCCTCAACATGTTTCAACTCTAGTTGTTGAAATCTAAGAATTGTATTAGCATCAGTATCCCGATTAAAAGTTGACAATTTACAATGGCCTTCCAGGACTTACTTCTCGCTCTTCGCGTGAAAATATATTCCACTAACTCTGCCCTCAACCTGATTGAAGCAAATGTAATAGAACCCTTCGAAACTTGCACCGCTAATTGTTCTAACACGATGATCAGGAACCAGGAAGTGTTCCTTCCATCTCATAAAAATATTATCTCGTTGTGCTAGATTTGGTATGTGGCAGTTTCCTTTCTTCGCAGATTTCTGAAAGGGACGGAAGGCCTGAAACTTTGCCCAGTGTGTTAAATCGACTTTATCTGTGGAACCCCAATCTTCGTGTTGGGTGAAGAATGAATATTTTGATCCAATGATTTCACCTTCGAAATAGGTCGTGAGGGTAGGGTGGTCTTCGGTTAGGCCTGTTGACAAAGTATTCGATTAGTACGAAGATTCCAGTGCCATATTGAACACTCGCATACCTTGAATGCGTAAATATCCACATAAAAATGATTCCCTCATGTCGACATGTTTAATTTCGACCTGTACGTCATAGACCTGCCGTTCTGATTGCTGTGTGCCGTGGAATTTGCTACCTGGTCGTAATTTGGAAGATGGTGAAGATGGTAACATCTGTATTTTGTTAGTGTTGTTTCGAGGAACCAGCACGAAGTCAATTGTACTAACTCTAACGTTCGAGAAATCGTAACCTAAGGATGGTGAAGGAACCCGTGGATTAGTGGCGGTATGCATCTCAGCTTCATCCTGCTTATCTCCTTCCGCGCTGACAGGAGATAACATATCGGGTCCATTTGCTTCTTCATCGATATCCATGCTTTTGGTGTTTCGCAGATGAGTTTGAGAAGTCGGTGTCATATCAACTGTTCGTAAATCATGAGGTGGAGGTGTGGGTTGTTGTGTAGCTCTTGAATCTAAAATCGGGGAATCGAGTGTACCTTCCATCTCTGGTATGCTCCAAGTAGACCTGTCATCTTCAGGGGGGCACGATGTGTGCGATATCGTCGCTCCAACTCTGGACTCGTTATTTGAAGAAGGGGTGGGCATTGAATCGCGCCGGCACCAGCCAAGCTTGTCAAAGAGAAATTAATGATACAACTGAAGTATTAAAACAATAATGTGTTGATGATAAGATTAGACGAATAGAACCGATAAGATTAAATGGAAGAAATGACTTGAAATTGTCGAGAAGATGAGATGACGAAAAGATGAGAAGACGAAAAGATGTTCAGATATGATAAAGGCAATACTACTCTAGCACGGTCATTGGCGCACAACGCTAAAATGTGACTTAAGTGTTCTACGCTATTTCCAATGAGGCTTAGCTTCGGATTTCCGTTTTTCCCCGCAAGTGCATCCATAAAAAGAACAAAATTGATTAATTGATGGAGGGTGATGAAGAACTACATGTTCTATACATAGGTACCTAGGTAGGTAGTATTCCTTCCACAACATCTTCGTCGATACCTTCAATTTATACTTCAAAAGGCATGTATGTATTGGTGACATTCTACTTGGACTTCTGAAGTAGCTGGAGAAATCCCATTGATCATTTTATGATTCAATTTTTACCTAGTGCTTGTTACCTAAAGACTTCTTCTATCATGTTGTCACTGTAGACCTTTTAGTGTCACTCCGGAAAGAAGGAATTTATTTGATTGAACTGTTCAAAAGGTCCACATACCATGAGTATGTATCATTGCCGAAGTGGTCTCTCATAAATCGACAATCATTTGGTACCTTCCAATAAAGATGTAATTCACATGTATTTGCAAGCATGAGCAACCCAAAAGGGCGAAAAAGGAGTCAGTGGTACCATTAGTGATTCGACAGCACATCTGAAGATACTAGCCTGGATGAATACCGGAATACTTACCCAGCCATTTCATCCAATCCCCAACTTACCCTCTAATACAGAATTTAGGTGCGTGCTGAATTGCTGGCACATCCATCTGATGGGAGTAGAGGGCTTATCTTGCGGGGCTTGCTTCCTTGGTTGCAAGAGAAGTGGTGCTTTGAACATCGAATGAAGTTGTTCGTCAGGTAAGGGATTCGGTAAATATGTTCATGCATGCAGTGATGCCAGGCATAGTCATAACATAAAGTACAGCAATTATGAGTCTTTTAATAGCTCCGACGCAAGTCAACTTGGCATATCTGATAAACATTATGCAATGTACAGGAGGAACGGCATACATATCAATATAAATTTGACGATAATATCATATCAATTTCAAAGACGCAAATCGAGCTTCAAGAGTTCGATCATTTCTCTGCTTTATACCACTCTTCGATTTCTCGTGCCGGACCTGATCGTTGAGCAGTTTTCTTGATTTAGAAATAAAAAATGGTGTTTCGGTATGTGATATGTCCCAGAAGTCGTACATGAAGCGGCTACCTCATCCAAGTATAACTCGACGAAGTGGGAGGAATTATGTGTGGACATCCAGCTTGGTCAGTTTCGACTGATCAGGCACAACAGCACTATCAAATCATAGTTTTTGAAAGTTGGACAAAAACTGAGTAGATTTTTGTGTCATTAGCATTGTAGACAAATAAGTGGCTTTTCCTCTATTGGTATCCATTTGTCTTGCAAATAAATCAACGCCTAACTCCTTCTTCCCCTGGTCTTTTCTTGAAACCAAATTTTTAAATGGGCTTGATCTTAAAGTGCAATGCTATCAATGAAAATACCAATGCTTTGAGATCCTGTACAAGATAGTAGAATACCCGAAGGCCTTCTGGGTCTTGAGATTCTGTGACATCAACGAGAGATCCGATTTTGGCAGTCTAGTTTTGATCAGTGACATAATCTCACACCCGAGAAAATTATACATACCTCGAAGGAGATGACTTCGCTGCCTATTTTGATTTCCAATTCTTGACGTCCATCTTTGTTCTTCTGAGGCCATTTGCTATCGTCTTCCCTATTTTGATATAAGCTTTGAGTGCTAGGCTCTTTGGATTTTAGAAGCTTACTTCATAATCTCACTTGTTTTGATGATCCTCTTGATTTCCTCAACCAGCAAAGAGCTAATATTCACTATGAGCCGTAAAATCAGTTTGGGTGAGATCCATAAAGCATCGTATACCACATACTTTCTTTGCGGATCAATGAATCGTTCCGATAATTGGAATTGTTGGCATAACGTGCGGATGCGCTTCTTCCATCTCCTAAGACTCGAAAGTCGAATTCTGAATCCATTGTTAATGTCCGCGCAAATTGTAAACAGCTGCTCAATCCTCACCAAGAAATTCGTGCCCATGTCGACCTTGGTGACCAGAACTATTGAGATAAATTAGTAAATTCAGACTCAAGAATTATTATCAACTCACTAGTAGCGAATGTAAAAGGGTTCGTTGAGAGTAGACATAATGTCGGAGACCTTTAGTTTTGTCTGCTGTCTATTTGATAAAGAAGGCTGAAGCTTTTGATAGCTTCCTGAGACTCGGTCATGAATTTAGCTTAAGCCTAGAAGCTGGCGGGGATACCATTTTGTGCCTGACAATCTAAGGCTGAAACAGGCCACGCTAAGTCTTTCGAACACAGCACCCAGAAAGCTGGACACAGTCGTGATAATATTCCCAAGAACACGCATGTTCGATGCGTAACTCTCAACGCATTACCTTAAATTACTATTAATTCTACTTCCGATTCCTACTTCTTGAGATTCTTCCAACTCTCAATCTGCCACAGCTTCAAAATATTAAACAACCTCGAATCCAGAAGTCCACCCTTTATACATAGTCAAGAACGAAAGAAACACCTTCCAGCTCGGCAGCTACAAATATAGCCAATATGGCGACCTTCTTAGAACAGTCGTACAGCTTGGTACATCAGGACAATGCAGCAGATGTACCTTCAATGTCAGATTTGAGGACGCAGTTGGAGAAAGGGACAGATGAGAGTAAAGTCGAAACTATGAAGCGCATTCTAACAATTATGCTGAATGGAGATCCAATGCCTCAATTACTTATGCATATCATTCGATTTGTTATGCCTTCGAAGTACAAACCATTGAAGAAGCTTCTTTACTTTTACTACGAAATATGCCCAAAGTTGGATGCCAGTGGGAAACTCAAGCAGGAAATGATCTTGGTTTGGTAAGACCACTCTGATCTGCGAAACTTGTGATAGTCGTATTGACATGTGCCACAGCAATGGTATAAGAAATGATCTTCAACATCCCAACGAATACATCAGAGGAAACACATTGCGATTCTTGTGTAAGCTCCGCGAATCAGAACTCATCGAACCTTGTCTCGCCCCAACCAAAGCGTGCCTTGAGCATCGTCATGCATATGTTCGTAAGAACGCAGTTTTTGCAGTGGCTTCTATATTCCAACACTCCGAAAGTTTGATCCCAGATGCCCCTGAATTGATAGCCGCATTCTTGGAGACCGAGAGTGATCATACCTGCAAGCGCAATGCATTTGCTGCATTGGTTAGCATCAGCCATGACAAGGCTTTGGAATATCTCAGTAGTGTCTTTGATGGCATTCCAAATGCAGACGAGCTGCTACAACTTGTGGAGCTGGAGTTCATAAGAAAGGATGCGGTTCAGAACTCACAGAATAAGGTATTTTCCACGATCATGGAGCCAAACATTGCTAACATCTGTAGGCACGATACTTGCGACTCATCTTCGACCTTTTGGAAGCTGGCGCTTCTACTGTCGTTTACGAAGCTGCTTCATCTCTCACAGCATTGACCAATAACCCGGTAGCGGTGAAGGCGGCAGCCTCGAAGTTTATTGAACTTAGTATCAAGGAAGCCGACAACAACGTCAAGTTGATTGTTCTCGACAAGGTGGATTTGTTAAGACAGAAAAATGAGGGAGTTCTAGACGATCTGACCATGGAGATTTTGCGCGTTTTATCTAGCACCGACATCGATGTACGAAAGAAGGCTTTGGATCTAGCTCTGGAGATGGTTTCCAGCAAGAACGTCGAGGATGTGGTCCTACTGTTAAAGAAGGAGTTATCAAAGACTGTCGACCAAGAATACGAGAAGAACGCCGAGTATCGACAACTCCTGATTCACTCCATACATCAATGCGCAATCAAATTTTCAGAAGTCGCTGAGAGCGTTGTTGATCTCCTCATGGACTTCATCGCCGATTTCAATAACACATCAGCCGTTGATGTTATCTCCTTTGTTAAGGAGGTAGTCGAGAAATTCCCCAAACTTCGACCATCCATAGTTGAGCGCTTAGTGTCAACCTTAAGCGAAGTTCGGGCCGGAAAAGTGTACAGGGGGGCTCTCTGGATAGTTGGAGAATATTCTCTAGAGGCCAATGATATCAGAGATGCCTGGAGGCGGATAAGAGCTAGCTTGGGCGAAATCCCTATCTTGGCTTCTGAACAACGTCTTCTCGATGAAGCAACGGATGGGCAAGAGCCAAAAGAGCCAGAACAGACCAATGGGCATTCCAAAGCAGCCCCAACAGGTTCAAGGAGAGTCCTTGCAGACGGTACCTATGCCACTGAAAGCGCCCTCACAAGTCAATCTGCCGTCACAGCCAAATTGGAGGCTGTCAAAGCCGCTCAAAAACCACCTCTTCGTCAACTTATCCTCGATGGAGATTATTATCTAGCTTCTGTTCTTTCTTCTACCCTCACAAAACTTGTCATGCGCCACTCTGAAATCTCATCAGATGCTGCCAGAACTAATGCCTTACGCGCCGAGGCCATGTTGATTATGATTTCAATTATTCGTGTAGGACAATCGCAGTTTGTCAAAGCGCCAATTGACGAAGATTCAGTGGATAGAATTATGTCTTGTGTTAGATCGCTTGCAGAAGTGGCCCAAAACAAGCAACTGGAAAGCGCGTTCTTGCAGGATACCAGAAAAGCATTCCGAGACATGGTTCAAGTAGAGGAGAAGAAGAGAGCAGCCAAGGAAGCAGTGGAGAAAGCTAAATCGGCTGTTCAAGTCGATGACGTCGTCTCCATTAGACAGCTTGCAAAGAAGAACACGATTGATGGTGCAGATGAGATCGAATTAGACCTTGAAAAGGCGACTGGAGGAGATTCTTCAGTGGAAGATCTTTCATCAAAACTTAGCCGAGTTGTACAACTTACTGGTTTCTCTGATCCTGTATACGCTGAAGCATATGTTACGGTACATCAATTTGATATCGTTCTAGATGTCCTTCTTGTCAACCAAACAACAGAGACTCTTCAGAATTTGTCTGTCGAATTTGCAACACTTGGAGATCTCAAGGTTGTGGAGAAGCCAACTACTCAAAATCTTGGCCCACACGATTTCCAAAATGTACAAGCTACCATCAAGGTTTCCTCAACAGACACTGGAGTCATATTTGGAAATGTCATTTATGATGGCGCAAGCTCAACCGAAAATAACGTGGTTATTTTGAATGATGTCCATGTCGATATTATGGATTACATCCAACCTGCTGTCTGCACCGAAACTCAATTCCGTACAATGTGGACAGAATTTGAGTGGGAGAACAAGGTCAACATCAATTCCAAGGCCAAGACATTACGAGATTTCTTAGATCAACTCATGGCTTGCACAAATATGAATTGCTTGACTCCCGAGGCTTCATTAAAGGGCGATTGTCAATTCTTGAGTGCTAATCTTTATGCTCGAAGTGTTTTCGGTGAGTTAAATCATTCCTGCTACTACGAAATGTGATCATTTACTAACAAAATTCTAGGGGAGGACGCTCTTGCTAACCTCAGCATCGAGAAAGAAGGTGAGGATGGACCGGTGACTGGATTCGTTCGTATTAGAAGCAGGTCTCAAGGGTTAGCACTCAGCTTGGGGTCATTAAAGGGATTAAATAAGGTTGTAGAGGTTGCATAAGGAAGTGAGAAATGATGACAAAATCTGTCTCATCAGTTTATTGCATCCGGACTAATGGACATTGGAGAACAGTTACAACTGCTAATAAGATGAAGATGAAGGGGAAAATAGGAAGCCACTGGAAGGCTGAAGCAGGCTCAACCAAAGGCGTCAATCTAGTTCAAGTCGTGTTGTGTTACATGTAAGCCTGCCTTTTATTTTGGTCGTTGAAATGATGATGATTGGGGAATTTTGCGCAAAAGAGGCACAAAAAGGAGTTTTAGCTAGAACCAGAGAGGCATTACTCGAGTACCATAAAATATTTTGAATTCTCCCAATATTGAAGTTTCATTGCTCGCTTGTACCTACATACTACCTAGTATTGTACGAGTATACCTGTCTAGTAGCTACTGGCCGACTACTAGCATGTGAGATTTGCCTCTATGCCAAATATCCTTGATTGCTGTTGGTACACGAGACGAGAGGCAAAATTAAGACTTTCGGGTTCTGCACCTGGTCAGAACTCAATTTCAGTTTTCAAGGGACCTTTGCACCAATTGAATGAATATCCACACAATCATGCAATTATAACAATTGTCGTTCACGCAGCAGGTAGTACCCACGTACCTTGGCCAGGTGGGTAGTAGCAGTGATAAACAAACGACCTCATAACGTATCACCCCTCATCTTAATGAATAATAGAAATTTGAATACTCCGTACAATCCATCATATCTACGAGGATAGAGAAAGGGAACCCATGACTGGGTCGAATGATCGGAAATTTTGGAGTTTGTGTTCCGTGCATCTATCTTGTTTTGAAGCTCGGCTTCTTAGGAACTGTGACGGGCCCCTTGCATTTGTAAGTACTATGAGAGAGAACTAACGGTAACCCTAATAAATCTTGGAAACCACCCTTTATTGAACAAAGGAAAAAAGTCTCGAGCAAGTTAAACTTGAATTTATTTCTTTTCCTGTTCAGGACACATTTTGATAGTCACCATCTTTAGTCACTCGTTACAATAACCACCATACTATGATTGGATAAACAGAGACGAGAGGTATCATATTGAGAGAGAGAAAGTGAGAGAATGCTTGGGATATCGACACAGTTTAGGTGACCATGGCTTCTTCTATGGATTCGAATCATCCGTTTATCGATACGATGGGAATTACCAGTGATGAATATGTGCGGGAGCAAGCGTTTGTGACTGATGGAACGTTGACGGTAGGAAGAAATGCTTCCTTGACCTTGGGGACGGACTCTCTGATTGTACTTGGTGAGTTCTGAGGATCGGAGTCTGAGGAAATAGAAATAGTTGTACTGATATGATGGAATGAAGATGAGGCTTTCGAAAAGGAGAGCGCAACTTGTTGCGGGTTTTGGACTTTTGCTTCGAGTGAGTCCATCTAAGTGTCTCCTTTGTATCTACGTCATACTGATATATTGCACAGGTTCTGCGAATACTAGACCAATTCCTTTCTACAACGTCCTCTGGGCTGAGATATTAGACACGAAAGAGCTTGCGATTCGATATGCTGCGCCGACATCGAAATCGAGAGTACAACCTACAGAGCTGAAATATGCGATTGAATCGCATTCTACAGAAGAAGTCAAGAAATGGATTGGAAAATTATTAGATCGATCGTACGGCGAATCGCAACAAACAAAACGAGCAAAGGTCCTGGTGAATCCTCATAGTGGCAAGGGAAATGCGCAGAAATACTATGATCGGGATGTGGAACCACTTTTGAAGGCAGCGAACTGTAGTATTGACATGGTAAAGACGCAATATCAGGGGAATGCGGTTACGATTATAGAGGATATGGATGTTGAAGCTTACGATATGGTGGTTTGCTGTTCCGGAGATGGATTGCCGCATGAAGTATTTAACGGCCTGGGTAAGAGACACGATGCGAAAAGAGCCCTGTCGAAGATTGCAGTGACGCATGTACCATGCGGGAGTGGAAATGCTATGAGTATGAATTTAAACGGAACGGCCAGCGCCAGTTTGGCTACTTTGGCTATTATCAAGGGGATTCCTACGCCGCTAGATCTCATGTCGGTCACACAAGGAGAAACACGAACAATCAGTTTCCTATCTCAATCTGTAGGGATTGTGGCCGAGGCTGATTTAGCTACCGAACATTTGAGATGGATGGGAAGTGCACGATTTACATATGGATTTCTAGAGAGACTTATTGGACAAACAGTTTATCCTTGTGATATTGCTATTAAGGTTGCGATAGAAGATAAACCAAGTATAAAAGACTATTATAGAAAGGAGATGAGCAATCACGAACCAGCAAGCGAGAGGAGGGGATACAAATACCTTTTGGATGACGATGCTTCGGCTAGTAGTGGGACGGAAGATGGGTTGCCTCCGCTGAGATATGGTACTGTGAGCGACAAATTGCCGGAGGGCTGGGAAATGGTTCCATATGATAAGTTGGGCAATTTTTACTGTGGGAATGTGAGTTTATCTCCCTTGTTCGAGTCATTCTCGGATACCCTACATTTGAACATCCTGAGGCTTCCTCAACCTTCCAATACTTTGATCTGCATAACAGAATTACACAAATGCTAACACAAGATTCCAGATGGCATACATGGCCTCAGATGCCAAATTTTTTTCCGCCGCCCTTCCAAGTGACGGTTACATGGACCTCGTTTGCATCAACGGCGATATAAGTCGCCTTGCAGCTATCAAAATGATGTTGTCAGTGGAAAACGGAAAGTTGTTTGATATTCCTGACGTATGGTATCGTAAGATACTCGGATATAGAATCATTCCGAAACAGAAAGGGGATGGGTATATAAGTATTGATGGGGAGAGGGTTCCCTTTCAACCATTCCAAGTTGAGGTACATAAGGGTTTGGGTACGGTACTCTCGAAAACGGGACATATGTATGAGACTCATGGTTTTGTTTGAGTTTTTCTCGGCTCGGTGGTGGACTTATTTTTTCATATTTTCATGGGGTTTCTTGTGTGCACTGGAGGGGAAAGGGGCTCTCGGTAAGATAGGATCTGGGTGAGGCGTTTGAATTTTCTTCCAGACATTGTGGCACTTATAGTCGACCTCGAAAGATACCCAAAGATGGTTTAATTCGCATCAGCGACTTAATATATATATATTGTCAAAATTAGAGATCTGTTCTATTCTACCATGAGAATTTCTGAATGTGGAGTGACTTTTTACATGGGATATTCAATATCCATTAGCGGATGTATGGACTGATAGAACACCATAAGGGACTCAAAAATATCTCTTGATATAAGTATTGATTGATATATCTTAGGAATTATTACAATGTTTCATTAGAGATTGAACGATCAAAAGACAAATTCTGAATACAAAGAGGCTTTTTACATTGGATATTGAATGTCCTCAAAACAACACCTAGACGCCGTGGAATTTCTTCCATAGATCCTCTTTTAACACCGAAAGAAACATTTTTCCACGTGGAATCAGCTCTTCATCATTTTCGACATTCGACATTCGCCCTTCATTCTCAAGCCTTAATCCTCAATCCCACCCCATCCATCCTCCTCCCCTTTGCTCGCATCACTCATTTCCACATCATCTCCCTCCGCACCCTCCTTCTTCTCATTCCCCGGTAAGCGCTCATCTCCTAGCGCCTCCTTGCACTTATTCCTAACCGTCTTATTAATACTCTCCTTGCCCAATTTCCTCAATGGCTCCAACAATTTCTCTAATCTCTCCGCGCCCTCTTCACTCTCCTTCGCTGCGTCGATCGCACCCAACTTCTCAAGCTCATCAATCCAGATATCGATTACATGAAAGCGCATTCCATTCGGTGTGCGCTGCGCGTCGGGACCCGAACCACAGGGAATCGAAGATAAGACTTCCAAAATCTGTTCTCCAGAATCCGAGACAACTTTCTTCGACCCTTTCTTATTTTTCTTTCCTGCAGAAGCGGAAGCAGAAGAGCCTGAAACCACAACCTCAAAGCCAGCCGCCAAATAGCGTCTCACGAGCAGTAAAAATTTCTCCATGCGCAACACATCGATGCGTTCCCATTCTTTAGACATGATTTCCCAAAAACCGGTGTAGAAGGGTGCTTGGGTGGAGGGGGAGAGGGAGGACAGGAGAGAGGCGAGAGAATTGGCGAGGGATTGTTGTGGGAGTGGTCGGTCGCACATCCACATGCTGTAGAAGAGACCGGAGTGGATTTTGAGATAGTCGAGGTGGGTTAGGGCGCGCGATGCGGAGAGATAGGTGCGTAGGGACTGGAGAGCGGCGTCGCGGGTTTTTTTGTCTAGGAGGGGGTGTTAGGATGGAAATTGATGGAGGGAGGGAGATGGAACATACCATTTGCAGCTAATTCCTTGATTAACTTCGTATCCCTGATATCCGTCGACATTTTGGCGTTAGAATTGAGGTTAGAGGTAGAGTTGTTGAATTGGAAATTGACAAAATAGATGTATGTGAAATTCCCCGCGCAAAGATATCTTGAGATGGTTTGATAGCAGAGTCGAAAATAAAAATATATTCTGCCGCCAGTAGAAACGTTGACCGCTTTTTGTGGGGATGATTGATTGGATAAGTACCTAATTGATCTGGTGTAGTTTTAGGGAAGGAGCTATTCACACCCCTCGTTGGAGAGCAAACGGCAATGAAGTGAATTACTGGGCTGGACTAGCAAACAATAATGACTTTGTGATATGGAAAGATCTTTACTTCTCCAGATATTTGGATTCTTCTCTTACATATACCTACTTTATTTTCGTCTCCAAATCTCTAGATCAATACACCTCCAAAATACACTGTCAAAGGTGTGTTCCTATTAAACAGCCTCAGCAATGTCTATTCTCCGCCAAGCAGACAAACGAAGCGAACCAGTCACAATGAAAAAATGGGACAAGACGAATAAATCGAGTTTCCATAGTGATTTGAAGAAGGTGAAAGAGGGGAAGAAGTTACATGAGGCAGCACGTATGTTGAAAACTTGTTCGACGAAGATTATGGCGCCGACGTATAGAGATCATTATTTTGGTCATGAAGTTGTGAGTTGTTGTCTTTTTGCTTTATGTTCGTTTGTTCTGTGATTTGGTCTCGTTTGGTTGAGTTGGGTGAGCTGGTGATTGGGGTTATGGTGTGCCATGGTCTGGTCTATAGAATTCTGAGTGGGCTTTGAATGGCGAGTAGAAAGGCCAGGTTCTTAAATAATAGCATATGATTTGGAGAGAATGAAAATGGAGCTTCGGAATCATAGTAACGGGGGTACGAAAAGGGGCTGTTGTTGTACTTGTACTTGTTTCTTTTTGTGGGTATAGGTACGTTATGTGTGAGGCGAGGAGATATGAGTAGGTGATTTTGTGATTTTGAAGATCAAAAAATCCTAAGTAGGATATTATACTTCCACTGCTCACAGTAGGGTATAAAGCAAGAAGATAGATCAAGCAGAACTCTTAGAGACGATCCTAAGCTCACAGGATAACTCGAATTTTGGAGTTCTACCCGAATATTCAATAGAATCAAGGGGGTTTCTAATGTCTTAGCCTATTACTTTGGAACTCTATAATGTTTTTTTACTGTTCAAATATTTCATTTATTGTTTGGTCCCTAGATGTGTTCAATCAAGCAACAACTAACTTGTCTCCCAGCCATCCCTCAAAGATTGTCATTGGTGTCAAATTCGCAGCTTCTCCAATGCAAAAGAATACCCAATCTCCATTGTCTGCAAAGACGAAAGCCTAACTCTTCCCGATGATTTCACTTTTATCGAAAAATCCATTCTCAGGGACGGAGTTTCCCGAGCCGACCCTGAGTTTCGAGTTGGGTGTGAATGCAGTCACAATTGTCATGGAATGACTTGCCACTGCCTCCAAGATTCTGAGGTTGATCTTCCAGACCACAATGTATATGCATATCAAGCAGGTGGCAATAGCGAAGGATGTTTGAAAGAGCAGCTTTTGGATAGCAAAGCACCTATCTACGAGTGTCATGAAGCCTGTGCTTGTGATAAAACTTGTGATAATCGAATTGTTGCGAGAGGACGACGCGTACCATTACAAGTTTTTCGCACTGAAAATCGTGGTTGGGGTATGTAATTTCTGTTATTCTTGAATGTTGGATTCAACAATCTAACGAATCATAGGTGTCCGAAGCAAAGTTCCGATAAAAGCCGGTGCATTTATCGACTGCTATATTGGCGAGATAATCACCGCTCAGGAGGCGGACAGACGTCGCGACAATGCAATTATCAGTAGAAGAAAAGATCTCTACCTCTTCAACATCGATAAGTTTACCGATCCAGATAGTCTCGATGAGACTTTACGTGGTGATCCATATGTTATCGATGGAGAATTTCACGCAGGACCCAGTCGTTTCTTCAATCATTCCTGTGAAGCCAATATGAGGATCTTTGCGCGGGTTGGAGATTATTCTGAGAAAAATCTTCATGATTTGGCTTTCTTCGCGATTGAGGATATTCGACCAATGACGGAGCTGACTTTCGACTATGTGGATGGGAAGGATGATGGAGAGCAAGGGAGTGAGAAGTGCTTGTGTGGAGCTAAATCGTGCAGAGGATGGCTTTGGTAATCATGGGAAGAAGGCAGTGATGAATATGAATGGTAGAAAACGCACGAAAGGACAATCTGCAAAAAAAAATGATACCCCAGATCTGATTAAGTATAGATGGATGGAATTTGGTTGACATTATTGGAAGTACCTCGAATTATGAATGCGTTGGAAATTGTCAAGCGAATTGAGTCTCTTATTCTTTTAAAATTTTGGTAACTCGACATCATAGTATCTTGATGATTAAATAAATTCTGTGTCTCTTGTGAAAGCGACTGAGGGAAAGTTGTCCATACCTTCTTGTAAAATAAACTCGATACACATCAAAGCATTTCCTTGAATTCGGCTATTCAACATCCATCTACCACTCAAATCGACACCATAGTCAAAGTACGACGACCAGTAATGAGTTGCTTCTAAATCACCTCCCTGTCAAACAAAACCAATGATAGATTCACAAGGTTCTAATCTAATCCTTCATCAGACGTCGAGGGTTCTGTTCTCCCGCACGTGATAATAAACGACTGTGATTGATTGGGTTTAGCGCAATTGATTAACGAGATTCTACACCTACCTAGTACCCACTCTCGAGCCACTGCACTCCCCAAGGCAGCATAGTAGATCAAGAGTGTCAAGGACGTTTCCAGTCAACCATTATATACATTCGTCTTTACTTTCTGAGAAATTCAAGTTCAACATTCGGTCAGACACAATCTTTACAATTCAAACCCAAGAGATATAACATAACGCATATTCGATTAACTCCTCAGGCTTTCCAGTAAGCTTACATTGTCTTCTGGATCACGTTTTCCTTTGCTCTACCCACGTATCGTATTCCATGCCATAAGGCCATCCGCTCATAAATATTGATAACTAATAACAAACGTTTGTTTAACTCAGATTTTATCAATAGAATCATCCGACAAGACTTAGGAATAACTTGAAGTACGAAACATATTCAATCTTTCTGAGCAGAGAGTTCGTTAAGGATACCTCAGCTGGTCGGGGCTGACATACCACCACTTTTGGGAACCGCCATTTTATCCGTGATATTATCATCGTTAGAATTTATATCAAGCCATCAATAACAACAGTATGGGTGCTGTGATCAAACGAAGCAACGTAATGGCTAGTTTTACTGGTATGTAAAACTCTACTTCGCTTTCAGAGGCTGAAATCCTCTGAATGTCTAATATACCTACAGAATTTGGTAATATTTGGATGTGGGATTCAACGTTCCAAGACTACCAGATATCCAGAGTGTCTGATAGCTTCTGAATCACCATCGCAATTTGAAGCTTTCGGGGTAATCTGAATGTCTCTAATGCTTTGATGACATTAGGTACCAATATTACACTACATGAAAACGTTTCATTTCCGTTATTTTCGACGTTTCCATTGGAGATTCGACGTCAAATCTGGAAACATGCTTTAATAGGTCCTCATATTCATATTGTATCTAGCCACGTTGCAACTCGTAGCAGAATTACGGAAATCATGCAAACATGCAAGGAGGCATATGATGAGGGCATTCAGCTACAATTTTCTCATTTCACATTTTGCAATTACGGTTCGTGGGGGGACGAAAATTGCCATGCACAACTTCCAAAGCATTACATGGACCCAAACGCCGATATCATGTGGCTCGTTGACAATTCTGAGTGTAAACTTCCTACCTCTTTAGCACTGTATGAAGGACGTCCTACATATCGTATGGTAAAGATCTTTGCTATAAACCATCAGCTATGGCACGACCCACGTCCACAATTGGACAGCAACGTAATGAGCTGGACATTGGGAACAGTAGCTTTTCTACCATACCAGATGTGTGAGGAAATATACGTCGTTTTAAATGATGTAGCCTTTACGCTGGACCATGGCGTGACTTTCATCGAGCCAGTAGATGGTCATGATGAGCCCCTCTCCTCTCGAAAGTTTACTTCCCAGGGCTATGAGAAGCCTAACTCTATTTTATTCAAAGAGGCAGAGCGAAGAAAGAAAAATTTAGAAGATTTTAGAACACAACTTTCCAAGTTCGAAGATGGTAATTGGGCCCTTCCGCTACAAAAGTTTCCAGAACATACAGGACTAATCAAATTGTGTTAGACTATCAAGAAAATATCAGTGAACACACCTGGTTCAAGTATCCGCCTATCATACGCTATGTTATAGCAAAGCCAGGCGGGACCCCTTCTTTATTTACGTGTATCAAGAATCAAAAGCCAACAGTTGTTGGTCACAAATCTCTCACTCCACTCAACACAGTTTCCTTGCCCGACCATCTAAAAGATTTGGTCTCTAATAATGATGATGACAGCTGGTTTCCAGTGGAAAATGATGCGGACGATTATACTAGCGATAGCGCGGAGGAAGACGTGTATGAAGATGATTTAGAGTACGATAGTCATGCTGGTGACGAGGATGTAGAAGATGATGAGGGCGACGAAGGGGACGACAAGGAAGAGGCTGAAGCGGAGAACAAAAATCCGGGTTTTAGCACGAGTTTGAATACGGATTCTGATGATAGGACTTTTCGAACTGTACCTTTTAGCTCGGCTGTTGAGGCTCTAGACTATCAAGATTACGCCGCATTTACAAATAATGGAGATGGAATGGGAAATGATCAAATGCCACTCGCAGATGAAAATGATGCAGATTTATGAAGGACTTCATTTTTCCCATTTCTACCAAACTTTGGAAGAGTTTGGACATCAACAGTTTTGGGCATATACAGCACTTGAAAGTTGATCATCCTTGGACAGTTAAATATTATAGACAGTGCTGATATATTCATGAAACTTTTAACGTCGACAAGAATTTAGGCACTGGAGAAATTTTGAACCTTGAAATACGTCGACATGTTGAATCTGCGTTCAGTACTAAAGGTTCTTGTATTTGCATTCCAGATGCCAGGTAGTGAAGGGCGTATCGTGGCATTATTCTTTGCCTCGTTTTTCTAAATTTGCATCTCCTCATCATTCCACAATCACTCTTCTCTCCTGAATTTATTCACTATTTTCCTACAATATGGGCGATCTAAGTGAACGGTATCGGCTGACCTTAATCTGTACCTCGAAAATGAAGTAAGTTTCTCATGCAAATTCACTCTCAAGTCAACATCTCGAATTTCCCAATTTGACCCGCCAGTATATATACGTCCTCAAAAGTCTCAAAGAAAAGAAACATCCCCCTCACTACCACGAACTAAATGAAACACCAAGAAATTTCCACCTTATCTCCCAACTTTTGGGTCCTGTTTTTATCTCGACTTTTCTCAAAGTCTCACAATGTTCAAATTTGGTTCGAAAACCATACAAGCTGATAACAGCGAGAAAATCAAAAATTTCCGCAAACTGGGTAATAAGTCAGTATAACCACTTCTTGATATCGAAAGATGAATACTGAGAATCGCAGAGAAGCTTATCAACTAGCTCTTCATACACTAGATCGCCATCGCAACAAATCTATCACCTGTCGCTATACACCACCTCCGAATCATCCATTCAATTCCAACCGTCTCATACGTATAGTCGAAACCGCAATCATCGACGTACTTCTCCTGCATCCAATTCTACAAGGTGTAATAGTTGACGCAGACTCGAAAAATCCGGCGTGGAAACAACTACAACAAATAAATCTAAATGAACATCTTACATGGCGCTTTTTACAAACACCCGAGGACTTCGATGATGTTTTGAGAGAACTCACTCTCTCCGAAATTGATAGCAAGTTTAATGAAATGCAAGAAAATCCGGGGTGGAGAATCGTTGTTTTATATCAAGAAAGAGCCAGCTTACTGGAAGTACATTTTACGTGGAACCAAGTTTATGGCGATGGGATAAGCGGAAAAATCTTCCAGGAAGATTTATCTCGACATTTGAATACGGCGACTCAATATGAGAACATTGAAGACAACACCACAACATCTCCCCTCATTCCACTTCCTCCAACTGCAATCCTCTCGCCACCAATTGAAGAACTCTATAAATTTCCTCTTAGTATATCTTTCCTCGCCAAACGTCTCTGGGAATTATTTACTCCCGCAGCTACATCACGGACAAAATTAACTTTAGCTTATTGGGCACCCATCCATCTCATCCCATGCTCCACCCAACATCGCTCATTCTCCATCTCCAAAACCACACTCTACGATATCCACCTCACCTGTCGCAAGAAAGACAGCACACTTATCAGTCTTCTGCACGCACTCATGACCGTCTCACTAGCGTCACAATTAGACGAGAACACAGCATCTGCATTTCAAAGTTGTACGACGTTGGATATGCGACGATTGATATCGTTAACTTCCTCGACATCCGGCTATTCAGGGTTGAATGTAGAGAGAGTAATGGGGAATTATGAAATGTCGGTTTCTCATGAATTTGATAAGAAACTTGTAGCTCAGCTACGCGACAAACTCCCAGGGAATGGTAATCAGGATTTAATCTTGTCACCGGGACAGCTGAGGCAAATTTGGAGAATTGGCGCAAATATCTGTGGAGAAATTGAAACGAAGGTGGCGAGAGGTTTGAAAGATGATTCTGCAGCACCAATGAAGTTTATATGGAATTGGTGCCAAAGACTCAAAAACGCTTCTCAGAGACCTAGAATATTCTCATGGTCAATCACAGATGCTGGAACCTTCAACAGGAATTCGAATATCGATAATGAGATACCGTCTGTAGAATCTAAGCTGGGAGGAAGAGATACGTGGATACTTCATCGGGCGGGATTTGCATCGAGTGCGGAGACCACAGGTGCGGCTTTTGTAATCTCGCTTATGAGTTTTAAGACAGCGGGGTTATCTGTGGATGTTAGTTGGCAGGATTCTGTCTGTGAGGTTGCAATGGGAGAGCGAGTTACAGCTGATTTGGGAAAGTGGCTTGAGCAAATTGCGGAAGAAGCATATCCGTGATTGTTATTTTTTGTAGATTATATATGCAGGAATAGTCACTTACTAATATTATTCAACACAGCGGTGATTCTTTTTATCACTTATTAACATGTCTATTTCAAGATTGGCATCTGTATGAATTGTCACTGATGATATTCTCACATGCATTGTCTGATAATTTTGGTAATAGTTAGGTAGCTCTATTTACTCCCCATTCACTCTCTATCCTCGCTGCTACTATTGTGTGAATATTTTGGTAGCCCAAATGATGGCAATCCTCCTCAAGTTTACTACTGAGAGTCGGAGAAAGCAGATATTCAATCCAACCATGGATCTTTTCTCAGAATCCCACGAGAATTGGTAGTTTTGTGTTCACAATAGACGTTATCCTACCTTGACAACCCATCATTTTGGTTCTCTTGGTTTGTGGGTTTCCCACCTAAAATACTAGTGGGGATATGTGCTTTCTTGAATCCCGACTAAGGTCTAGTCGGCCACCTGAAACGTCTACTACTCCGTGTGTAGACGATGATTAGAAGATCATATGAAAGTTTAATCTATATTCAGCAATTTTAAAAGAATAATTGAGATTGAAAAATTAGTATATATTATCATTATTGAGTTTTAAATATAGAAATAATATTGGTTGAGTATTACATTAAAGAATAAATGTAAATATTGAATTAAATTCAAGGAATTCTCATGATCTAACTGATTGATAAGATCCCTATTCAGCGACCGGAGCCTACATGTCGCTCCTTCGGGGACAGTGAAACTATGTTGAAGGATCATATGGCACTATGACTCGATCGTGGCACTTGGCTTCACAGAATCTGAACATGATGACAGGATGAAAACGAGGCATCTCGTCGAGTATAGATTGAACCCACGGGTGCGTCCTGTTGAAGTCTTGGCCGGGCATCCATGTAGTTTGCGGATAAAGGCCCGTATTTCGTAGTCCTATGGGACTAGAGTCTGACTCAGTCCAGACATCTCCAGGTAAATAAATACTATTCAAAGTCCCATTGCGACATTTTTCGGTCCATTTGTACCAGAGCCAATTACATTCATACCCCTCATGCCATTTGCAGACACGAGTCTCGAAGTCATCGGGGGTGAGAATCATTTCTTCGAATATTTCCGCAGGCTCAGGGTCCTTTAACATGGCATCGTCGAGAAAAGTCGTAAACCATAATTCGTACATGCGACGAATGGTCTCTTGGTCCGAGGTGTCGACAAGTTGGACCGGTGCCGCCGAACTCCCGAACAGCTGAGCGTCAACAACCTGTTTGGCTGTTGCATGAATAGTTATGACCGTGAGACAGACTTTGAAACCGTTCATTTGCTCGATGAGTGGAAAGTTGTCCTTGATTTCATCTATTCGAGGTTGAGTAAAGAACCACCGATCGCTCGCCTCCAGGCCCGCCGGTATCTTCACGAAACGGTGCACAAGAGCTGCCATGAACGAGCCTCCCCGAGCGATTTTAGCATACGCAATGAGAGTTCGATGGGGTCTATCATCATCAGATATATAACAGCCCTCCGCGTGATCCGGATCCCAATTGAGATGCAGGATATCTTTTCCGGGGTTAAACCACGGATTCTGGAGCAGGCATGGGTCCTCCCAATCTGGCTTCTGCTCGAAAACTTTTGCTTTCCACAACTTGTGTAGGTTCCATAAGTGTCCGGCATCTATAAGTGCGGCATCTCGCGCCTCATGACATACTAGACTGTATGCTGGCTGTTGTGCGTTTGCGTGGGATGTCAATTTCATGACACACTTTGTCCTGATGTGTTCCGAATCTGGGCAGTCAAGCTCCATGACACGATCTTCCATGGTACAGAACCTCCAGATCTTGCGTTGTAGCTCCAATGGCAATTCCGGAAACTTAGTAAACTCGGTTGCCATTTTGACGTAGTCTTAAAAGTATGATAGAATGATATAGTGAGTGTGTATCGATTTCGACAGAGGATTCGAAACTGGGCTTGCAGTTAAGAGAATGGAATTCATATACAGGCGGAATATAGAATTTTCAGCATCAGCGGGCAGCCTCTTTTATATAGTAAAATACTTGAATTGGATGGAATCATGCTGGCACTCCGTACGGGGAACTTTGTATTTGCATTATCAATTCGTCGCGGAACACGGTGTGTTGGTAAGCACTATCTAATGCCGTAGGTTATGGGATGTCTAACAGGTATGTGTCTAGTGGTTCGCGCATGACCTAGCAAGTTTTAAGTCCAACTACAGCAGATTTTTGATGGGTGAAAAGACCATACAGTTTCCTGATATTGAATTAAGTATTAAATGCAAATAAATCTACCATGGTACTTGTACTCCAAGGCACAAAATCAAAAAGAAGCGTTAAGATCGCCGATCCATTCTTCCAACTTTCTGATAACAGCTGCATGTCTTCTGATGTTCCCATCTTCAGACAGGAGTCCCATACTAGCTATAACTCTATTCACAACTATCCCTGCATCCATTGCAGGGCTAGTTGAGCTGTTTATTGTCAAGGTCGTGTCAAGTTCAAGATAAGGTTCAGAGCCCATAGGGATTACTGTTCTTATAACTGGCGAGATTCCATGAACTCGTAAGATTTTCATTACTTCAACGAGGTTGATTCTGTTGAAGTCTAACTGGCGCGCATCCAAAATCCCATGAATGGCAGCCTTTGTATTCACGAAGTTGGGCTCAATATCGAAGAAATCTTGGTTGAGGCCCATCTGGCCGACCATAGAGATACGAGCTGCAGCAACGTAGTCTCTGAGTGCTTGCAATTGATCTGTAAAAGTTGGATAATAGCCAGGTATTATTTCGAAATATCCCGGGAGCAATCTACTGGCATCAAATTTCTGTCTCGCATCGTACGCTGAATCCCTAATTTTTTGGACGTTGGTAAAAGGGTCTGGTGTGAGGTCATCGCCTATGAGCCCCTTCGGAAATGGAATTTTATTCTTGTTGGGCTGCCGTGTCAATTCTACAAACTCGTCAAGAGTGCAGCTCCCATCCACGATGCTTCCCCGACTCTGTGAAGCGATTGCGTTTTCCTCAACGCCAAACGCATTGATGCTTATTCGGTAAGCGTAGAAAAAGGCGACAATCTGCCATGGGCCAGCAGAGTTTAATGCCGTGACTTGTGCGATAACGCAAAGCGCAAGAAGAATTATCAGTTGAAAACTCATTATTTCAACGGACTACGAAGAATAACGATTTCAAGTAGCGCCTAAAAATACATCAAGTTTTCAAAGCTGAAGTTCCACAGTAAATTTTCTAATGTCAATGACAGAATAGTAAGGAACACGGAGCCACTTTAAGTACCTCAGACTTATACCAGTTGTTTGTACCGCCATTACCAAGACATCTCATGTCTGACTACTCTTGTCCCCCATCTGACAAGAAGAACATCGGTTCTAGATTTTGGTCCTTTGATTCAATGACCTGTGTCTGAGTCCAGATTCAATTGTCACATACCAGAGCATATGCACATCTTGTCACTTGAGAGCTCCAAATGACCGTTATGCCAAATTGCACCATCACAATACTTTACTTTAAATCAACGTTACTGTGCCACATGCTATGTTAGATTATATGAACTAAGTCATATCACAATTTGATAATATCACAATGTATACAGAATTGGATTTTAGATGGTTTGTGAGTATACTACGGCTGGCATGAAGGTAAGGTGCTTCATGTTTTTACATCATATAATATCACATAGTGTCACTTAGAATGACCGACATATCAAGTCTAGAGCCTTAGGTTAGATGTATCAAACAGAAGAATTGAGAAGTGACTTGTGCAGCTGACCCTTGGATATTTTATCGAGCCATCTGCAACAATTATTAATAACTCTCTCTACCTTTACATTTCATAATGCAGTGAAAGACGAGGAGGTGGTACAATTCATAGAATATCATAGTCCAGAGGAGCTTAGTAATTCTAATAGGTGAAGCTGAAACATATTGATATTCCTCTGCTTGAACCAAATGCTACTGGGACGTTTCACTACTCGATCGATCTGCGACTTTCATGTCTATATCAAGTTTATAATAAGATTAAATTAATCGTTCTTTCAACTTAATCCGAAGCAATTCATATCTGATGTAGAGATAATCAAATATTTGATCTAGGGGCCGCCCCTTGACCTTATTCAAACTTGGGAGTCTAGTTCTCCACGTTACATGAATGTTGTATTCTGCATAAAGTCAGCCTAAAATTGAGCCCTGAATGAAAATCCCTCCGTCTTCATTCGTCCCGTTCTCTCTTCGGCAGAAACTTGTTCATTCGCTTTCGAGCATACATTACACTGCGACAATTGTCTTGACAATCAGGATGACAGTATCATCGTTCAGTTCTTCATCGTTCAGTTTTTCAAATATTCGAGAGACGTCCTGGATGCTGCGGTTGATGATCAAGCGGTCCTCGCCAGCCCTACAGAACCAGAAAACTCGTATACTACGGTTATGGTGGCAAGAATTTGCTAAAATGTCCCTTGAGATTGATGCTTTGAGATTAATACTTCGAGATCTCAAGCAAGTGCCAAGAAACCAGACAGGGGTTCAGCTCTTTCTTACAACTTTTTCACTATTTATTCTTTTCTCAATTCTTCAGCTCTTCGCCTCGAAACTTTCAAGGGTAAGTTACCTGTAACTTCAATCAATACTAAGTTCAATTCTATCAAGTACATTAACTTTACCATAGTATCAATTTAGTATAAGCATTCAAGGTTCTTTTCTCTTTTTACTCGCTTAGCCCTGCCCATCAAAAACTGAAATCTAGTTATTAAGGTATCATGTATCTCCACTTTCTAGTAATATAGCTTGATTGGAAAGATCCGAAACGTTTACAATGAAGAAAGCAGGCTGGTGAAATATATATATTATTGATTATATAGATTGAATCATGCTAGTATAACTACGAGGTAAAATTGATGTGTGTATAGCGCAAGCAGCCGTACTATATCCTTCCAATATGAAGAATTACGAATAGATTTAAAAAATATATAGTGAGAGTTCAAAATCTCAAGACAGCTATACTTCTATTCAATAATAAAAATATATTGAAAATCTCAAGTATCGGTTTAGAATATGACCGTAAATACGCTTGTTAGATAATCAAGTTCAATGGTCATACTGGCCGTATGATACGGCTGTACGATTAGTATAGATTACGGTCGAGTAAGTCGTATCAAGCGCTCTTCATAATTTTCTAGAGTATAAAATCATTACAAATGATACCTTAAGAACTGAAGAGAAAAACTAAGTATAAAATGAGTCTTATATTTATATGTTTTAGTACTTATATATAATAAATTGCTCTTATATCTCTTAAATTCTATATTGTAATCTATAATTGAATCTTTGATGGAATATATAATAGAATTGACTCTAAATTAATAGACTCTAGCTATTTTAGATTGAATCCTATACGAGGAAACTTGATTCTTGTATAAACGCTAGTAAATAATCTTAAGTCATTAGACTACTATAGTATACTAAGCGAGAGAGCTAGCCTCAAAAGACATAAGAATTACTCCTTTTTATGATTAGCTAGCTTTTCAGATAGAATATAATATTAACATACAGAATCTATCATTATAAATACTATATAATCTATATCTATCGGTAACATCATGAGGCTGGCGAAGATAATATAGTACTATGATTCCCACTATTGTAATATTACTTAAGGCTCCAAAAGCTAGGGCGGGCTACGATACGTATATGCTCACTAGCGTAAGCGCTAGTGCAGTCATACGATTCCTGTCCCGACAAGTATACTTGTATATATAGACAATCTAATCCTCTCCTTAATGATTTCAAGAAAATCAATATATAAATCTAAACTGTTCTTCCTCTTTCTCTCAAATCCTCTTGATTATCTCAAACATCCTATACTTCTCATCCACTATATCTACTACATCAATCCTCATTACTATCCCTCCAACCTCAAAATCAAGAATCAAATCTCATACTTCTATTCACTCATATTGTATCTCAAATATCTTTTTAGAGATTCTTCTTAATAAGCTATTTCTACTTTATCATCGTTTCTTCTTTCGAATAGTATATCTTCTCTGACTTTCTCTCCCTCCTCTCTCTTCTCCCCCTCATTAAAAGAAATCTAAAAATATATATAGATATAAACAACTTATTAATTGACTCAATAATATATACTCTGTCTAACCAATGAAAACCATAATCTATAAACCTTTTATTTTGATTCATATCTCCTTTCTTATCTCCATCCTCAACTCTATTTTCATCTCCATCCTCATCTCCACCCTCATCTTCCAATCCTCATCCCCCCCTCCAATACCCCCTCGAAACCCCCTTCAAAACTATTCAAAACTATACAGTAAATCTCCCTCACTTTCTCTTACCTTCTCTCACAACTCCATCAATTACTTACAAATCTTGCTCTCCTCTTTCCTCAAATATCTTATTAAATCATCAAAATCAAAATCAAAATCAAAATTTACTAATTCCTAAAAATCAAAAACCTCAGATTCAATACCCTCTCTCCTCTCTCCTCTCTCCCTCTCCCCCCCCTCTCTCACTTTCTTCTTCCATCTTCTCTCTTTCCTCCCACCCTATCACCTATCACTCCACCACTTAACGTTCCCAATAATTCCAAAAGTCATAATCCCAAAAGTCATCATATCAACCAAACAATCAACCAACCAATCAACTAAGCGAGTAAACACTCACTCACTCAATCAACCGAGCGAGTGAATGAATCACCAAGCGAACAAGCGAACGAGTAAGTGATAAATAAATGAACACCTACCTATCAAATGCTAATTTTCAAGTTTAAAAATTAATATAGCATAGTATAGTATAGTATATATACATATCTTACATCTCATAATCTCACAATCTCAAGTCTCTAAAATTATCCATATTCATGTCCATATTCCTACTCACAATCCCATTCTGATTCCCACTCACTCCCACTTCCATTCCCCTTCCTATTCAATTATCTAATATTAAGAATCCCTTCTATTCTATCCTCTCCTCTCCTACTCTACCCTATCCTACCCTATTCTATCCTACAGATGTATACACAAGAACAAACTACAACCAACTACACTCAGTAATGTCACGTAATTTTTCCTCTATTTTCTCTATCTCATCTATTTCTTTTCTTTCTCTCTCCTCTATCTACAACCCCCCAAGTCCTCACCCACTCTACCCACTCCTCAAATTTCCCAATCAATGAGAACGACCCAAAAACGCCATTAGCCAACCAACCAACCCAAACCATTCCATTCGTGCATACACGCATACCAATTCCAACCTCGAATCATTCGAGACTTATGTTCCGATCGCTAATCTCCATGTAAAGCCGAGAGAGAAAAAAAAAATACACCTCCCATATCTACCATTTCATTTCACTTGCATATCCTGTTATACAACCTCCTCATCTTCTCGTCATTTCATCTCCTTGCCCTTGAACCTCCGCACCTCTATCCCGTTCACCCCTACATCTAATTCCTCGTCCTCCTGGAACGGAAATAATCATAATTCATCGGATCATGATCCGCACTTCCCCTCCCATCCAAATCCTCCTGCGGTAAATTACCATATCCTCCTGGTCCACCACCCAAGAAACCCGGTGCTCGTTCCTGCACACCCGGTACCGAACTTGCAGGCATATCCTGTGCACCTTGAACTAATCCAACCGTCTCTCCCGAACTATCCTTCCTCTCTCCATAATACCTCATTCCCATCCCGGATCCCCCACTCAAACCAATATCCCCTTTGACACTATCCGGTGTCCCTGGCCTGAAAGTTGGCAATGTTGGTGTACCCAAACCATTAACAGGTGTACCTGGTCTTGAATCTGGTCCTCCCCAGCGTGAACTACCTGGTGTGTCCGACCTAATGATATCTTCCGCTTTTCCATAAATGCCACCCGAACCACCATGCTCCTCCGCGAATTCTGCTCTTCCCTTGTAATACGAGAAATCCAGGCGATTCTCCGGTACCATTTCAAATCCAGGCATACCTCCCTTAGCAGAACGACCTGGTTGTCCAGCACGCATAGGATCCATGGCATATGTGTCGGAATATCCTGAAACCGACATATTATCTCCCGAGCCTTGGTTATTTGAATCTGTAAGACGACCACCATAAATAGAAGCTAGAATATTTTGAGCTCGGGCATGAACCATAGG